TGTATATAGCCTAACATTAGCTTCTTACTCTGGCGATGTGGAGATTTTCCTGCTGAACAAGTATCATAAACATGTATTATTTTTAGGGATGCACCGAATATTCGGCCACCGAAAATTATCGGCCGAAAATGGTTAAAAAAAACCTTTCGGCCGAAAGGGTTTTAGCACCGAAAAAATACCACCGAATGTCAGAACAGGCTTACGTTGGTAACCTAACGTGTTGTTGTGATGACGTAATAAAGACGCGGCGACCATGCTCGCGGCTGGCTCACAGGGGGGGGGAACATTGACCTTTGTCATCGAGATTGCCCTGAGCCTTTAACAACCGTATTAAATAATCTGATGACAGACTGTAAACAGAATAGCTGAAATTTTAACAAACTAAATAACTCAGTTTCCTCTAATCATTAGCCCATGTTTGTATCATGTAGTTAACTCCGTGTGTTGCTGCTAGCATACATAACACCTGACGTGGAAACGTTACTCGTGGATGGGGCTACAGAGCTACTAGAAAGACGGTCGAACCCGGTACATTCCTCCGTCTGCATGCGGTGCACTTTTGCTAAATGTTTAGACAAATTGCTCGTGCTACATGCTAAACTCTTATTGCACTTATGGTAACAAGTATTCTCCACATCGAGACGGGTAAAGTTTAACCACACCTCGGAGCGCGTTCTCTCCGCCATCTCCGCAGTGTGCTCCGCTGCATGTAGCAGCTGCGTGTGTGTGTAAACTGCCCCGCCCCCTCGCACACAGACGGGGAGAGAGATCTCGTCTGATCGAAAATACATCATAGACGCATTTGTTGTCTTTGCATATTAGAACGAGTTGGCGACACTAAGACTGCGATATCATGTTTTTTAGCAATAATACATGACATATATAAATGTACTGTATGCATTCAAAAGTGCTGAATAAATGTTTTATGGACCCATAATAGTGATTATTATTTAAGTTAAGTTTTGCCATAATCATGTCTATTTCCATAATCAGGTAGCTGAACAACATTGGTAAAAAATGTATACATTATATATATATATATATATTTCTATTAATCATTTTCGGCATTCGGTTTTCGGCCAACTGTTTCCTATTTTCGGTATCGGTTTCGTCCAAGAATTTCCCATTCGGTGCACCCCTAGTTATTTTGCAGATCTTACTTTCTGCAATATTCTGAAATCCATTGGAAAAATCCCATTGCTTTTGTCAGGGGAACCAGTGCGATGCTTACTTCTGAGTCTGCCTACACAAATACGTAATCCCTGCACCACTCTATCAAACCCCTTAATTGTCGTTGTGTTCTGTGTCATCTGTACGTCTTGTGATGTATATTTCTCCACTGCTATGGGTCCTCTCATGGTCTAATTTTCCATCTTGGATCTCAGGGCGGTCACAGTATCTTTGGCAACAGCGGAGGGATGGCTCAGTCAAGACACCCGCCAAGTGTCCCACCCTTAAACCAGTCCCCAGGGATAAGAGCGCAAGTGCCTCATCAGTTCCTGTCACCTCAGGTACTGATGCTTTACCTTTTTATTCAGAGATCACTTTTTTTGACACACAAATGCAGATGTTTATACTGTGCACTAGGGATGTAACGATATATCTAATATTGCGATATCGCGGTAAAGAAATGTCTCAATACCGTCGTGAGATTGACAAAGTCGACCGCGATTTTTTTTTAAATATTTTTTTTATAACCTTTATTTAACCAGGTGGTCCCATTGAGATCATCGATCTCTTTTTCAAGGGAGACCTGTCCAACATGGCAGCAAGTAGGTTACAACATGAACATAAAACGACAGAACACAAAAGGACATCGTATTTACAGGGCTACATACCTAGAGACATGGACAAGTACCAACAGTATATTTATATCTCTGTCAATAAGCCTCATCTTCTTGGCAAAAACTGTATTGTTTTTGAAGTGGTGGAGAGACAATGCACAGTTTGACCCACTGCTGTCACCCATGGCCAAAGCATATCTCTCTGTCCCAGCAACATCAGTACCAAGCAAGAGAGTTTTTTCCACAGCAGGGATTTTGTAAACGCCCAAACATCCCAGCTTCTACCTGGAAATGTGGACATGCTCATATTCCTAAAAGATAACCTTGATGACGCTGAGTGAGTGAGTTAGAGTTACTTGAAAAACTAAATTGAAACTTGATTTATTCTATTGCAGGGTCTGATTTATTATATTGTTGACACTTTTAAATAGTACTATCTACTAAAATGCTGTACAAATCAGATTTATTATTTAATAAAGAAAATAATAATATACTTTTTTTCTTTTTTTTTCAATATCGCGATAAATATCGTACCGTGGACTTTTTATCGCGATATTATCGTACCGTGAGTTTTTGGTATCGTTACATTCCTACTGTGCACACAAACATTTGCTGACTAGGGGGAATTTCTTGTCAGACATCTTCTTAGTTACTTTGTCTCCAAAAAGCAACGTGCAGAATATTTTAGTACTGATTTAATCCATCAGGGGGGCGGGGGGGGAATTAAATATATTTTAATGTATCAAATATAACATAATAGTCACACCTTTGCTGTCAATTATAGATTAGAATAAAGTCAGGTTCTGTCGGTCTGACGAAAATAAATCACAATCATTCCAAGAAAACTGCAATTGCTGCATCTCTTTTATTCTGTGATCAGAGTTCTTCTCAGCTCTGCGTGTTTCACACACATTGACACAGGAAGTTTGTGGGTTGACTGTCAGTGTTCAGCAGCGTTGGTTTTATGCGAGTCATCTTCACAGTTTTATTTTTCTGCTAAGTAACCCATTTAAATAACTTGCAACATGGACATTAGTTAAACTTGTTGCAATGCCACTATTCCTGCGGCTCCTCTTGTTATGATCATCTTTTACATCTATATAGTTGGGGCAGTTCAGATTTACTAATTTTAAAGTGGGAAGTGTTGACGGAGAAGCTGTCATTTGTAAATTGGCTTCTATTGTGATTAACACAGTAAATACAGATCCTACAAAGGGCTTGATTACGTTCTTCACACACTTGTTGTGTCAGTGCTGTGAACTCTCTGACATAGTGTGAGTCTGTGTGAGCTTACTGGCTGTGTGTGTATTAGTCAGTGTGTGTTAGGTCACGTTTACACGGAGACGAAAACGAACCGATGTCGATATCAAAAAAGTATTTCGTCCACACGGTATCGGCTCAAGAAACGTGTCCGTCCACACGAGACCGCTCGACCCGCTGGAGACGCTGTAGTACATATGCCGGGCCTGTAAGTGGCGCTGTACTTCTGCCACAAAATACACCAAAAGCAGCGAAGAAGACCCCCCGAGGATGGTTGCCATGGTTGCCCTTCTGTTTATTCTCCGCGGTGGATTTAGCAACATGTAGTTCATGTAGTTCTCCATGTCCACTTGTTGCTGATGGTTGTGGTAGAGGAGCTGTAGATTCTGCACTAACATCTGTAGCATGGTCAGTAGCGTCTGGAGCAGGAAAGCAACCCTGTGATCCGCCATTGTTGTTGTTGTTGGCGAAACACATCACCAATGACGCGGGGGTGAGCAGCAGAGGTGGGGAGAGGCGGTCTATGGCGTCATCGTTATCAGGAAATTATTGTATAGGACGTACACATGGAGTCGTTTGGCGCCCCTGAGCGTTTCGTCCGCAGATCTACCGTTATCGTTTGAGGGGTCCATTTCCGCGGTTCCGTTACGGCCTCGTGTGAACGAACCGTCGATAGAGAACTGTAGCGGATTAGGGATGGGAACCATTATTCTAAATGATTCATGATTCGAATATGAGTTATGAATATTTTTATACATTTATTTATTTATTTATTTTTGGGAGTGATGCCTAAGATGATTACATATTATCAAATTGAATAATTCAATGTATATATATTAGGGCTGTCAGTCGATTAAAATAGTTAATCGCGATTAATCGCAAATTAATCGCACATTTTTTATCTGTTCTAAATGTACCTTAGAGGAATATTTTTCAAGTTTTTAATACTCTTATCAACATATGAGTGGACAAATATGCTTTATGCTAATGTTTATTATCATTTGAACAATGACAAATATTCAACCTGGAACCTCTCTCATTCAATAATACAATACTGTGTGTGTGTGTGTGTGTGTGTGTGTGTGTGTGTGTGTGTGTGTGTGTGTGTGTGTGTGTGTGTGTGTGTGTGTGTTGTGTGTGTGTGTGTGTGTGTGTGTGTGTGTGTGTGTGTGTGTGTGTGTGTGTGTGTGTGTGTGTGTGTGTGTGTGTGTGTTGTGTGTGGTGTGTTGTGTGTGTGTGTGTGTGTGTGTGTGTGTGTGTGTGTGTGTGGTGTGTGTGTGTGTGTGTGTGTGTGTGTGTGTGTGTGTGTGTGTGTGTGTGTGTGATGTGCAACTCAAGGCATATGCTCGAACGGGAGCTGCCTGGACGCTGCAATCATGTTGCGCACTATCCGTGCTGAGTGTGCTGACTTTTCGTACAATGTCCCACTGTCTGGCTTCCTGCATAAAGTCAAGTGCTCGGCGCAGTTGTGGCGAAATGTCGCTCCTCTGTTTTCATTTAAACAGCTCCATCTATCCGTTAGCGCAGCTAGCTAGCACCAGATGCTAACAACAACAATGCACGTAAGGTCTCTCTCTCGCTCGCTCGGGCCACACATACACACACCCTCCCGGTCCTCCCAATGGCCAGTCGGTGCCTGCCGGTGAGCGTGGAAGTGTGGTCTGCCACAAGCGGGCGGCAGGAGCGGGGCTGTCAGCATCAGCTTGTAGATGGTATTTTAAACTCGATGCGCTCTGAAACTACGGGGCGGCCGCGGAAAAAAAAATACACATGCGTTAATCGCGTTAAATAATTAGTGGCGTTCATTTTTTTTTGCGTTAACTTGACAGCCCTAATATATATATATATATATATATATATATGCGGATACAACCCGTTTCGTCTCTGCGTAAAGTAGTGTGTGTGTTAGTCAGTGCGGTCCCACGAGTGCATAATCTCTCTGCAGGAATACATTGATCACGTTTACACATTTACTTTCAAAGAATACAAAGTGAAACACATATTTTTCCAGGAATTGGATCAATTTCATTCACTCACGGGGGTCGAGGCACTTGTTAACAACAGTTAATGAGAACATGAAGGAGAATCAATGCTAATCGGGAGGTGGGAGCGCTAAGTTAATGTGTTCGCTAGTGGTTACAGCACTGAGGCCTTTCTGTAGTAACAGGTGTGCCTCGTTTCTGTCTCCAGGTGCCAGGCTCCGTGCTAAAGCAGATGCCGCCTCCCACCGGCAGTGTGGGGGGTGTTGGCGGCGTGGGAGGAGTGGGGGGGGTCGGGGGAGGTGTGTTCCCTCCACAGCTGTCCCCCCAGCATATTGCCATGCTCAGCAGCATCTACCCTCCGCACATCCAGTTCCAGCTGGTGAGAATCAGCACTTATACATCTCTCTGAGTCACGGCAGAGGTCTGCTGAGTCCGGGATAAAGGGAGGAATTATGACGTCATTTCTCAGTCCTGTGCATTATCGCAATTTCACAAAGAATTAAAGCAAATAAGATGTTTTAAAAATCTTTAATATAACAATAATAACCGTATATGTGTTTTTATTCACATACTCGTTTATATATATATTTTCTGGCACTTGCTAAATAGGACTCCAATTCCATTATATTTCATTAAGCTAACTTTATCCAAAGTGACTTCATGAAGCGCAATAAATATTATAGATACAAATTCAGAATAGCAAAAATCATACAAGTACATTCGTTTAAATGAAACCCAAACTAATTTGTTTCCACAATAAATGACAGCAGTCTGGCTAAAAGGCCACAATAGTTTTCCTACATGCCCTGAAAAACTAAATAAATGTGTCAAATAAAACGTGTAGACTTAGTAATAAAGATACAGAATCTCAATAGAAAAATTCCTGGTTAAAATAAAATAAAACAAGCAGAAATTCACGACAGCTGCAACCATGTGGGCACACCATCTGCACACGTTTGAAGATACAATTGCATTCTTGTGAGCTCTGACTCGGCACCCACATATTCAGATTTAATTATTTCCTCCCAGTGGAGCCAAACAAATGCAACGTGGGTCTGTCATTGAACGTCTTAAAATGTAGATTTTGTATCTCTGTTGAATCTCACTCATCTTGTATCGTTTTGTCCGTGTTTGTTCAGGCCTGTCAGCTCCTCCTCCAGCAGCAGCAGCAGCCTCAACAGCAGCAACAGCAGCTGCTGCAGAACCAGAGGAAGTTCCCACCAAATGTGCGGCAGCAGGCTGACCCTCAACAGGTAAGATTCAAAGATTCAAAGGTTGTATTGTCATATGCACAAAGCTACAGTGTAGAAATGGCAATGAAATAGAATATATTTTTATTGTCATCATACAAAGTACAACGACATTTCTTTGGCGACTCTCACTGCAGTAAAAAATAGACACAAATAAATAAATAAGAGTGGTAAAAGCAGAGGTAGTAGCGATGACAGTGCAACGAGATAAAATGCAATGTCAATGAGCATATTTAGACGCCGTCCACACGGAGACGAAGCAGGTCGTATCCGCTACAGTTCTCTATCGTATAGCCGGTTCGTCCACACGATGCCAATGCGGATAACGATAACGGCTCCTAAGGTGGGTAGATCTGCGGACGAAACGCTCTGGGGGGCCAACCGGCTCCGTGTGTACGTCCTATACGATCTTTTCCTGATAACGATGACGCCATAGCCCCGCCTCTCCCCACCTCTGCTGCTCACCCCCGCATCACTGCTGATGTGTTTCGCCAACAACAATGGCGGATCACAGGGTTACGTTCGTGCTCCAGACGCTACTGACCATGCTACAGATGTTAGTGCAAAATCTACAGCTCCTCTACCACAACCATCAGCAACAAGTGGACATGGAGAACTACATGTTGCTAAATCCACCCCGGAGATATTAACATATATAATAAAATACAAAATAAAAAGTAGTGCAAAAAGATATGTACAAGAACAGAATATGAAGTTAAATAATATAAATTAAGAGCAAATGTAATACGGCTTATTAAATATGTTTTTTTTGCACCTACAAAAGACCAGTGGAGGTATATATAATGGAAAAAATAACTTGTCAACTTAGAATGAGAGTACATATTTTTTAGAGTAAATGGAAGAAATTGATCATTTATGACACAGTGGGAAAAAGGCTACGGCATATGCTTTTCAGGAGACTACACGATATATCTGTATGCAAATTGTAACCATGACTGTTGAATTTCAGTTTCATGTTTATTTTATTTATTTCATTGTCTTTTGTTTATGATCTTGTACTTGTCATTGTTATAAGCCAAGAAAAAGCCACAGCAGGGGGTCCGCGGGGTCTTAAAAAGTATTAAAAGTTGATAAATCAATTTAGCGAAAATTAAGGCTATTAAAAAGTATTAAACGGCATTTTCCAAGGTATGACATTTGTAGCTTGTTTTCAATAAGTATATAAATGGTCCAAAGAGGTTGTATTCTACAGTCTGCCTGAATGTAATCATGGCGTAGGTGTGTAGTGTGATTCTGTGTAGTTTATTGATGGCATCCCGTTGGGTTTGACGTCATCAGAACAGGACATCGCACGCTCACTGCTTGATAGCGCGCGAAGGTCCGTTTACGCCGGTTGTTAAACAACATCGTTATGGGGAAATGCAAGTCTGCGTCCAAATGGTTGGAAGATAAGGAGGAAGGACAATCGATACTGAATATAGTCAATGTGAGGTAAAGTGTGTCGCCAACCGGTTAAAACTCGAAGTGGCGATGAGGTCTTAAAGTGTATGGAAAGGGTCTTAAAAAAGGTCTTAAAAGGAATTATTACATTTGACTTCAGGATTCCTGCACAGACCCTGCACAAGAACAATGTGATATTTCTGTTTTGTTTTCTCCATTATGTACAAACAACAACAAAAACGGTTTATTGCGGTGATAAACTCACTCCTCTACCAGCTCTCAACTTGCTCCTTCCAGCTGCTGACTTGCTTTTGTCGTGTCCTCTCAGCTGGCCCGGATCATGGCGGTGTTGCAGCAGCAGAGGCAGCAGCAGCAGGCCGGAGGTTTAGGCAGCAGCTCCAAACTCTCCCCGTCCCATCACGGTGGGGTTGGCGGTCCCAAACTGCCCGGGGCCGACTCCCTGCCCCATCCTGGCCTCGCTGCATCCGTGGCTGACCTGCACCAGAAAAACCTCGGCCCTTATTCCGGTGAGTGCTGATTTACAGACCGTTTTTATTGTTTAGAGAACGTAGTGCACTTAGCTGTTTTAAAATGTCAGGTCTTCGTCAGTCAAGTCACTTTTAATTAATGATTTTATTAACAATTATAGCCTTAACTTCATGTCTGAAAATGTGCTATAAAAATAAACGTACCTTACTCTACCTTGTAAAAATTGAATGTATTGTCTTTGCCCTTTTCTAGATATTAAAGGTGCAATGTGTGATACTTAAGTGTCCTTCAGTAAAAAGTACCCATAACTAGCAGCTGCTTTAAAGAGTACCTGACCTCCCTTTATATTAATAGAACAATAATGTCATTGTTAGCTAATGAATGTTTCCATGCTGAACAACGGCAACATGACAACGTTTCCATTGGTCCCTCTTCTTTAGAGAAGACCAGGAAATGATGGATACACGGATCGTGTTCAAATCAATAGGCACGCAATGACTCTAAAGAATAATGATCACGCATCAAACACACATTCAGACTAAAGGAACCAGCTGTTTGGAAAATGATGAGAAGTAGAAAGTACAGGTATTTGAGTTTCAACATGTAGAAGTAGAAAGTACAGGTATTTGTGTTCAACATGTAAGAAGTAGAAAGTACAGGTATTTGAGTTCAACATGTAAGAAGTAGAAAGTATAGGTATTTGAGTTCAACATGTAAGAAGTAGAAAGTACAGGTATTTGAGTTCAACATGTGAGAAGTAGAAAGTACAGGTATTTGAGTTCAACATGTAAGAAGTAGAAAGTACTGGTATTTGAGTTCAACATGTAAGAAGTAGAAAGTACAGGTATTTGAGTTCAACATGTAAGAAGTAGAAGTACAGGTATTTGAGTTCAACATGTAAGAAGTAGAAAGTACAGGTATTTGGGTTCAACATGTAAGAAGTAGAAAGTACAGGTATTTGGAGTTCAACATGTAAGAAGTAGAAAGTACAGGTATTTGAGTTCAACATGTAAGAAGTAGAAAGTACAGGTTATTTGTGTTCAACATGTAAGAAGTATAAAGTACAGGTAATTTGTGTTCAACATGTAAGAAGTAGAAAGTACAGTATTTGAGTTCACATGTAAGAAGTAGAAAGTACAGGTATTTGAGTTCCACATGTAAGAAGTAGAAAGTACAGGTATTTGAGTTCAACATGTAAGATGAGAAAGTAAGACAGGTATTTGAGTTCAACATGTAAGAAGTAGAAAGTACAGGTATTGGTCAAATGTAATAAGTAGAAGTACAGGTATTTGGTTACAACATGTAAGAAGTAGAAAAGTACAGGTATTTGAGTTTCAACATGTAAGAAGTAGAAAGTACAGGTAGTTTGGGTTCAACATGTAAGAAGTAGAAAGTACAAGGTATTTGGGTTCAAAATGTAAGAAGTAGAACAGTACAGGTATTTGGAGTTTCAACATGTAAGAAGTAGAAAGTACAGGTATTGAGTTCAACATGTAAGAAGTAGAAAGTACAGGTTTTGAGTTCAACATGTAAGAAGTAGAAAGTACAGGTATTTGATGTTCAACATGTAAGAAGTAGAAAGTACAGGTATTTGTGTTCAACATGTAAGAAGTAGAAAGTACAGGTATTTGAGGTACACATGTAAGAAGTAGAAAGTACAGGTATTTGAGTTCAACATGTAAGAAGTAGAAAGTACAGGTATTTGAGTTCAACATGTAAGAAGTAGAAAGTACAGGTATTTGAGTTCAACATGTAAGAAGTAGAAAGTACAGGTATTTGTGTTCAACATGTAAGAAGTAGAAAGTACAGGTATTTGAGGTTCAACATGTAAGAAGTAGAAAGTACAGGTATTTGAGTTCAACATGTAAGAAGTAGAAAGTACAGGTATTTGGGTTCAACATGTAAGAAGTAGAAAGTACAGGTATTTGAGTTCAACATGTAAGAAGTCAAAGTAAAAAGTCGTCAGAAAAATAAGTAGTGGAGTCAAATACTGATACCAGAAAAATCTACTTAAGTACAGTAACAAAGTATTTGTACTCCACTACTTCCCACCTCTGAAAATAACCCTCTGTTCTTATGTGTGTCTTTGTGAGCAGGGTTTGGTTCTGGGGTGAACCTCCCGGGTCTGGACATGGGCGGCTCCTCTGTGGGGGGTCCGGGGGGCATGAAGGACCTCGGGATCCAGCAGTCACGCTTCAAATGGATGATGGAGGGCCACTCGTCCCCGGACACCTCCTCCCCTGAGAACGCATTCCACAAAAACGGTGAGATTCCCCTCTATATTTAAAGGGAACCTATTATGCAAAATCCACTTCTTCATGTCTCTTCTACATCAACATGTGTCCCATCTTCTTCATGTCTCTTCTACATCAACATGTGTCCCCTCTTCTTCATGTCTCTTCTACATCAACATGTGTCCCATCTTCTTCATGTCTCTTCTACATCAACATGTGTCCCCTCTTCTCCATGTCTCTTCTACATCAACATGTGTCCCATCTTCTTCATGTCTCTTCTACATCAACATGTGTCCCCTCTTCTTCATGTCTCTTCTACATCAACATGTGTCCCCTCTTCTTCATGTCTCTTCTACATCAACATGTGTCCCCTCTTCTTCATGTCTCTTCTACATCAACATGTGTCCCTCTTCTCCATGTCTCTTCTACATCAACATGTGTCCCCTCTTCTTCATGTCTCTTCTACATCAACATGTGTCCCCTCTTCTTCATGTCTCTTCTACATCAACATGTGTCCCCTCTTCTTCATGTCTCTTCTACATCAACATGTGTCCCCTCTCTTCATGTCTCTTCTACATCAACATGTGTCCCCTCTTCTTCATGTCTCTTCTACATCAACATGTTGTCCCCTCTTCTTCATGTCTCTTCTACATCAACATGTGTCCCCTCTTCTTCCATGTCTCTTCTACATCAACATGTGTCCCCTCTTCTTCCATGTCTCTTCTACATCAACATGTGTCCCCTCTTCTTCATGTCTCTTCTACATCAACATGTGTCCCCTCTTCTTCCTGTCTCTTTACATCAACACATGTGTCCCCTCTCTTCATGTCTCTTCTCATCAACATGTGTCCCCTCTTCTTCATGTCTCTTCTACATCAACATGTGTCCCCCTCTCCTTCATGTCTCTTCTACATCAACATGTGTCCCCTCTTCTTCATGTCTCTTCTACATCAACATGTGTCCCCTCTTCTTCATGTCTCTTCATACATCAACATGTGTCCCCTCTTCTTCATGTCTCTTCTACATCAACATGGTGTCCCCTCTTCTTCATGTCTCTTCTACATCAACATGTGTCCCCTCTTCTTCATGTCTCTTCTACATCAACATGTGTCCCCCTCTTCTTCATGTCTCTTCTACATCAACATGTGTCCCCTCTTCTTCATGTCTCTTCTACATCAACATGTGTCCCCTCTTCTTCATGTCTCTTCTACATCAACATGTGTCCCCTCTTCTTCATGTCTCTTCTACATCAACATGTGTCCCCTCTTCTTCATGTCTCTTCTACATCAACATGTGTCCCCTTTCTTCATGTCTCTTCTACATCAACATGTGTCCCCTCTTCTTCATGTCTCTTCTACATCAACATGTGTCCCCTCTTCTTCATGTCTCTTCTTCATCAACATGTGTCTCCCTCTTCTTCATGTCTCTTCTACATCAACATGTGTCCCCTCTTCTTCATGTCTCTTCTACATCAACATGTGTCCCCTCTTCTTCATGTCTCTTCTACATCAACATGTGTCCCCTCTTCTTCATGTCTCTTCTACATCAACATGTGTCCCCTCTTCTTCATGTCTCTTCTACATCAACATGTGTCCCCTCTTCTTCATGTTTCTTCTACATCAACATGTGTCCCCTCTTCTTCATGTCTCTTCTACATCAACATGTGTCCTCTCTTCTTCATGTCTCTTCTACATCAACATGTGTCCCCTCTTCTTCATGTCTCTTCTACATCAACATGTGTCCCCTCTTCTTCATGTCTCTTCTACATCAACATGTGTCCCCTCTTCTTCATGTCTCTTCTACATCAACATGTGTCCCCTCTTCTTCATGTCTCTCCTACATCAACATGTGTCCCCTCTTCTTCATGTCTCTTCTACATCAACATGTGTCCCCTCTTCTTCATGTCTCTTCTACATCAACATGTGTCCCCTCTGTGGAAAGAGACTCTGAAAGTTTCAGGAACAAAGATTTTCTCTCTTTTTGATCCATTTCTATAAAAACCTGTCTGAAAATGAGCTGATCAGATTTGGTCCACTTTATGATGTCATAACGATGTGTTGTCTTGTGTAACCATTAGCCAATCAGCAACCAAGGTAACCCCCCCCCCCCCCTTATCACCTGAATCTCCTCCTAGAGCACCATTGAGTTCTTTGTAACCAAATGTCTCTCAGAGGGGCGTGGGGAGGGGCTCCTTATTTTCATCTAAAGTAACAGACAGAGAATCAGCACTTTGGAAACAGGGCTAAAACAGAGGGGATTATGGGTAATGATCTGTTTGGTGTTTCAGCCAAACAGAGACATGTTTTGTATATATCTGAGACCTATAATATATTGATGTAAAACAGTATAATAGGGGACCTTTAATGTGTTTTGATAAGAGCTGGAGTGAAGCCACGCTGAGGCAGATTGTGTTAATGGGGGTTAGATGTGAAGTCACATATTAATGTGATATACAACCATCTGTTGTTCAGTGATGTGTCATACATTATCATCACCCTGCAGGTCCCGTCACTCCTATGAAGATGCCGGGGGGCTCTCCTTACTCTCAGTACGATATGATGGTTGGAGATGGGCTGGGAGACAACTGGCATCGCACCCCTGGCAACAAGATGGGCCCAAAGCCCCCCCCCACGCCCAGCTGGCCCCCTGGTGAGTGACTTTTTAAAGTCAAAGAGATAACCTACGATAAAGAATCCCACAAGGTTAAGACATAAGTAGAGATGGACTAATTCATCGGCCATTTCTAGGTCATGTGCCACATAATGGTTTATGCAGTGGTGCAATGTAACTAAGTATATGTACTCAAGTACTGTAATTTAGTGCTGATTTAAAAGTATTCTCTTTTCGTAGGTACTTTTTTTACTTCGTTTTTAAAAATATGATGTGTTTTTCTATTTAATTCGACAGTTAACCAGGTACCGGGGGCAAAACGCCACATCTTGCAAGAAACGGCGTCTGAGGGCTTCTTAACATTTAACAAACTATTAATGTGTCATACCCACTTAACAGGAAGAAACTCCGCTATCAGACAATATTAACCATTTTTAGCAAAACGAAACACAAGGGTAATACCAAGCCTCTGAATTAGCCCTGTGCGAAAAAATGCTAACACACTTAGCACAGAACTCACGGTAGAAATGTTGTATACTTCATCGGTTCTGCACAAACAAGATATCAAATGAAAGCTGGGATTCCACAGATTATAATGGTATAAGGCAGGGCAGCGAAGGCGAAACCAGACAACACACAACTTAGCTTTACGGAGCCAAATTGGCAAATACGTCTTACCTTTGCTGTTTTCTGATCAAAAATTCTATTCAATGGCATTAAAACGCATAAAGACGCTGCTGAAGGTTAATCCAATGTGTCTGTGTCACTTTGAAATGATTACTGATCATCCATCTTCATATTTATGGCAAAAACTGAGTTTTCATATATAGTTGCTATGAGAGCTACCAAAGCTTCCGGTTTTGGGCATTCTGGCTACGCATCACTCATTCACCAACGGGTAATGTTTAGATGGATTTTAGGAACTTCCCCTCGATTCTATTGGCTCTAACGGTTAGAAAGAGGTGTCAATCATCAAAATCGACCGAGGGGGGCCAGAGATATGGAAAATCCATCCAAATGACCCCAGAAGTGTTTTTTTTTTGCTAAATCTCTCTAAAAAGGTCAAATGTCACTTGTTTTGCATCAATCTTGATACAGGGTACTTATTATATGTTGTAGTTTGGATTCCTAAAGCTTTTAGTCTACTAAACCATCATTCAAGGGTGCTTTTCACTATAAGTAATGTTGTTTTTTTTGGACGGACACAATCATTTTATTTTTTTTTACTATGTTCAATCTGAATTTACTTTAAAATAAAAAACATCCATATTGATTCTGACTTTTCTACATCCAACTCACAGGTTTATCCTTGCTTTGAGAACAAAGATTATTAATTTAACCCTTTTTAGAAGTGAAGATATGGTCATTTGTTCTGGGAATGTCATTTTCGAGCCTGAGACCTGAAAAACAGGCTCTGGGCTCAACAGGTTAATAAAGCAATAGCTGAAAGATGAATTACTTACTGAGAAATAAATCATTACCATCTTAAAACATATAACTTATTTTCCAATTTATTTAAAAAAATGTTGGGTATTTAAATGTTCTGCTTTGGGTACTTTTGCATTTTATAGTTTTGTTGTTGTTGTGTTTTGGCATCCAGAACAAGGTAATGGTTTTCCTGCTTTGTAAAAACTGTCTTTAATGGACCACTTGTTTCTTCTCCAGAGTTTCAGCCGGGTGTTCCCTGGAAAGGGATCGACCGGGTCGACCCTGACTCTGACCCCTACATGACCCCAGGGAGCATGATGGGAAATGCAGTGTCCCCCAACCTCAATGATAGTGAGCACCAGTTGTTACAAGACAATACTGGTGAGCATTTAACTGCCTTTGTTTTCATTACATTACATTACATTGCATTTAGCTGACGCTTTTATCCAAAGCGACTTACAATAAGTACATTCGACCAGGAAGACACAACCTTGAAGAAAACAGAATCATATAAGTACATCAGGTTTCATAGAGCCAAACATTTCAAGTGCTACTCAACTGGCTTTAGGTAAGCCAGTCCTTTATTAGTGTATAAGTGCTTTGTTAATAGTTCTAACGCTCGAAGTGGAGTCGAAAGAGATGAGTTTTCAGTTTGCGCTGGAAGATGTGCAAGCTATCTGCCGTCCTGATGTCAATGGGATTATGATTACACCATATCTACCAGATAGGTGGTTTAGCTTCTTGATTTTATTGTTTGTTATGAATTAGTTGCTAACAAAGTTGGTGTGTCTGTGTTTGAAGATTCCACCCCTCCCCTCAACACCTTGCTGCCTTCACCTGGTGCCTGGCCCTACAGTGCCTCAGACAGTCCCCTCAACAACGCACACAACTCAGGTAACCACACACACACACACACACACACACACACACACACACACACTCATTCCTAGGCTTTTTCTTATACTTGTTTGCTTCGCTGTCATTTTCCTAACTGTTGAATGGTCATCTGGATTCCAAGTCCTTTTTGTTGTTGTTGTTGTTGTTGTTGTTGTACCTGCTGTATCTCACTACCAGTATGAAACTCCTGCAGAGCCTCATTGACTTTTCTGTTCCCCAGCAGCAAAGTACACAGACTACAAGACCAGCTGGCCCCCAGAGCCCATCGGACACAAGTCCTGGAAAGCTAACCGTGGCAGCAGCCAGATGTCCCAGATGTCCCAGATGTCCCGCATACCTCCAGGCCTCGCCAGCCAAAAGCAGCCATCGCCTTCCCCCTGGTCCGGAGGAGCTCCTCGCCTGGCGGGCCGCGGCTGGGGCGGCAGCTCGAGTTCCACTGGTAATGTCCCCACGCTTTTAACATGTTTATTTCACGTTGTCCCTTGCTTGTTGAAACATTCATCTGATTTAAAATGTTCGCAGGAGGTAAGACAACTGTAGGAAAGAACACAGCGCTTTGATTTTGATTTGTAAGAGTCGAAAAAGCCCTAAGGGAAGCACCAGGGAAAGTCATTCAATATTTATTACATTTGAGAAGCCGAGAGGGAAACCTGATGTGTTTACAGGGAATGTGGAAAACTCTCATTCATATTTTTTTTCCTGTTTGGTCCTTTTTTCCGTCTGCAGCCTCGACCTGGAGTGACGGCAGCTCCCGTGAAAGCTGCTGGTTGGTGCTCAGCAACCTCACACCGCAGGTAAATACACACACACACTCACACTCACTCACACTTGAATACTTTATTTGGTTCCACAAATTATATTACATAAGACAGGGAATCAAATATATCGGGGCTAAGCTGCAGCACAGAACACTTAGGGGAACACATAGCATCTCCCTCTCCACACGGCTAAGCTGCCAATAATAGCTGAAACTCTCTCACACACACACACACGTACTCACACACACACCACACACACACACTCACACTCACTCTCACACACACACACTCTCACACACACACACTCTCACTTACTCACACACACACTCTCACTCACTCTCACACACACACACACACACACTCACACTCACTCTCACACACACACACTCACACTCACTCTCACACACACACACTCTCACACACACACACTCTCACACACTCTCACTCATTCACACTCACACTTACTCACACACACACACTCACTCACACACACTCACACTTACTCACACACACACTCACTCACACACACACACACACTCACTCTCACACACACACTCACACACACACACTCACTCACACTTACTCACACACACACTCACACACACACACACACTCACTCTCACACACACACACTCACACTCACACACACACACTCACTCACACACACACACTCACACTTACTCACACACACACACTCACACTTACTCACACACTCACTCACACACCCACACCACACACTCACACTTTCCAAAAACAACTGCCGAGACTTCTGTGCGAGCAAAATTAAATTCCTGAACTCTTGGGCAATGAAAATGTAGCTTAAAGTTAGTCCATAACCCTGATAATAAATGTGTTATCCAACTCCAAAAGAAGTCTCTGCGCCGATATCCGCTAATTCGCTGAAACCCTATGAAGTATAAGCGATAACCAATGTTTTTTGTTTGTTTTGTGAACCAATCATAAATGGGCAGTACACATTTTGAAATGCTCTGAATTTTGTCAACCTTGACCCATCGTTCTTCCATTTAAGTTCTCCTTGTCCATCTTGTGTTTCCTCCAGATTGACGGCTCCACTCTGCGGACCATCTGCATGCAGCACGGCCCTCTGCTGACCTTTCACCTCGGCCTGACGCAGGGCACCGCTCTGATTCGCTACGGCTCCAAACAGGAGGCGGCCAAGGCACAGAGCGCACTCCACATGTAAGACTACAGTCATTTCTTAGTGACATCTTCATATTTTCACTCTCTCGTCTAAATGGTCGAATTGGAACTAGTATCCTCTTAAAATCCCTAATAAATATTTGTACATATCGGAGTAGGGCTTTCACAATGTCCAGATTACACACAGCTAATGGCGCATTTCCACTGCAGGGCCTCGCACGGCTTAGTACGGTATAGTTTGGCCTCGTTAGTGTAAGGGAAACTTCTGTAGCAATGGAGAGTCAGGACTCAGAGAGACACGAGGAGAGTTGGAGCTTTGATGTCAAACACTGATGTTTATTACGAGTATCGGCCGGAGGATTCACATCACAAGTCACAGCAGCCAGAGGTTCTGACTGCCCGGGAGAGTTGCCACGTCAATTCTGAAGCGCCTTTCTTTTTCTAGACCTTTTAATAGGTTCACAGAGAGTAATCAACATAGTGGGGGAGATAAACTAAACATCTGGGAACACTAGAGATAGCCTAAACATCTGGGGACACTGAATCACTTGCCTGACCCTCATGGCCTCGAAGATTACACCTTGGAGTCCACAAACACCGAGAAGGAAGTGTTCCAGCGTTCTCACAACCATAAACCATTTGTGACCGAGAGTTGCCCGGTCATAAACTGGGAATATCAACATATAGCTGGAGCAGCACATTCCTTAAGGGAGATAACAGAGTCAGGGTTGGTCATAAACGTCAAAGGGCAAAAAGGTTAGATATCTTAGGAGTAAAGGACTTAGAATTATTCCCTAACAGTTAGGCCAGGCTCACTTTATGCTGCGTTTCCATTACAGTTTAGGAACTGGGGCAGTAACTATAGTAACGCAGTGTAGGCGGAGCCGTGACGTCATCTTCAATGCGAACCACAAAACCAACATCAGCCGTTAGCTGTTAGCCCTCAGAGCTCACAGCTCCTCATATCTGTTCAGAAACTAGACACAAGTTAAACAAGTACAAACCACAGACTGCCTGTGTCATGGAGAATACAGTCGCTGGTTTATTTATGTCTGTATAGGTCGTTGTTGTGAGTGTGGACGGTCGGAGCATATACTGCGTTAGCTCCATTCAGAAAACACGCATTTTAAATGGTTTTTCGCCTGCCGTCTGTCTGCAGACTTGTCAAAGCATTAATTCCTGGTTTTTACTAACCGGTATCAGTATGTTGTTACTTCGGCATCATTTAGAAACGTGTATTACAATTAAATCACGGTATATATGTTCATTTTGTTGTAGTTGTAGCCCCCTTGCCAGCGATTCTCTCACTAGTTTAGCATATTCAGCCCGGTTGTTGGCCCGGAAAGAACCTGGATTTTGGAGAGCCAGAAAACTGTGAAAAAGTACCCGCTAGCCGGAACTACGCCAAGTGGAAACGCAACCAAAAACGGGCCGGGCACGGCACGCTTAAACCGCACTCCGCGCTGTAGTGGAAATGCGCCATAAGTGCAGTGAATTGGAGAGAGAGTCTTGTGGGAAGCACTGTAATTAAAGTTTGAGTGAATTTCAAGCTATTAACTGCTATACATGTCGTTAAAACATTAATCTATTCAAGCCATATTCATGATACTGAGTCTGGCAACAAGTAAATCTATTTAATCTTTACATAAAAAGAAAGCAGAATCTCATAAAAACAAGAATTTGTATCCCATCACATTTTCTTTACGGTATAAAGTATTATAAAACCCAGCGTAAATTGCACATTTGAATTGTCCAGAAGTAATTGTATCCCCGCTAAAGAGATACTGACAGATTCTCCTCTTTACATCAGGTGTGTTCTGGGTAACACCACCATCTTGGCGGAGTTTGTGAGCGAGGAGGACGTGGCTCGCTACATTGCACATTCCCAGGCAGGAGGAGGAGGAGGAAACCCCGCCAACTCTTCAGGCTCCGGGCCCACATCCTCCTCCTCCTCGGCTGTGGGGGCCAACGGTAACGGAGGAAGCTGCGATAGAAGTGGAGGAGAAGGAGGAACAGCAGGAAATGGAGGCGGGGCTTCCAGCTCCGGGTGGCAGAGTCTGGACAGCACAGGCAGCTCTTCGGACCAGACCTCCACCCAGGGGCCCGGCTTGGGGGTCTACTCCCAGTGGAGCAGCAATGGGACCGTGGTGGGGGGGGCTGGAGGCGTGGAGGCCGGGCGGCAGGGTCTGTGGGGGGGGATGAGCGGGCCGGGGTACCCCAGCACCAGTCTCTGGGGGACCCCCGCCCTGGAGGATCGGCACCAGATGGGCAGCCCCGCCTCCCTGCTGCCGGGGGACCTGCTGGGAGGGGGGGCCGACTGACACATTTTAAAGTTGTGATGTCACACTCTGTATTTATTTACACTTAGAGATGACATAAATTAAAGCTACATTGGTCACCCAGCAGTCAAACTACACACACACATTCATTAAGCCGCTTTAACTTTAAATGAAGACAACAGTAAAACTTGAACTTGGAAATCCATTAAACTCTGTAACTGGATAGCTCTTCGGTCTTTTTACTCCAAATCCCATCGCTCAGAGACCCGATCACTCAGGCATGCACTGTAGACAGGCTCAGCCAGAGTCGTACAAGTTTAGCTATTGCTGTTTTTAGTGTGCCACAATTTACTTTCTTTTGTATTACTATGTAATCTCAAAAAAACTAAAATGTCAGACTTGCAGACTGAGCCCTCATAGACCTGGCTGGCGTTCTTCAAAGTTCTCATGTTTGGAGGGGAAGCATCTGGAGTTTGTAGAGGAGATTTTTTTGGGGGGGGGGACAGCGCCACACTACTGAGTCAAACGGACGATCAGCAGAGAGAAGAAAAGCGTCTTTTTGTAAGTAGGTACCGACACCTTGGTGGAAATATGCCATCAACATGGGACCCAGGGTAAAAAAAAACAAAATATCAAAACAGAAACAACATTAGCCAAACTTGCACTATATGCCTCTGGGTTTGTTGTTGACACATCCTCCACAGATCCCTCCATTCTTTTTCCAACAGAGCTACAAAACAGGACGACTTAATGTTACAACAGCAGTGGCCTTGGCTCAAAACCAGCGGCCACGTCAGCAGCCTTCACACCGTTCATCAGTTCCACACTGCTCTTATATTTGACAAGCGAAATTGTATCTCCTCGTTGATGTTAATTTTTATTTTCTGTTTTAAAAGAAAAATGTGAGAAACGTTGTGGAAATTCAAAGATGTCCTCCTTTTTTGTTTGCCCTTCAAACACTGACCTCGCTATTGTATTTTTTCTTACTCGAGAAATCAAGTTGGTTATAATTATATATTATCATGATGTTAACGATGACTGCGATCACTTATTTACTCGCTGTACAAGGTGCCCTCCTGCCTGCCTGTGTGTGCATGAAAGGAGTGATGACAGTATGACCGAATGGAGGAGGATGTGATGAAGATAATGATGATATCGGGAGTGTGTGTGTTATTGCTACAATGTTGAATGTTTTTTTTCTTTCTTGTCCATGAGAGATTCATGAGAAATGTGTGTGTGTGTGTGTGTGTGTGTGTGTGTATGTCTGCGTGTGTGTGCGTGCTCTTGAACACTTATCTGCTCCAGTCAGGGAAGTGAATTAATCTGACCGCTTACATTTGAGAGAAAGTGTGTGTGTGTGTGTGTGTGTGTGTGTGTGTGTGTGTGTGTGTGTGTGCGTGCGTGAGCGAGTGTGTGTACATGTGCTCGACTGTTTGGATATTGTAATAGCTAAAAAGTTCAAAAACATTGGCACTATTGCATAATTATGTCTCTTAAGTTTTCGTGTATTTTTTTAGCAGCATTTCGTTCCTGTTTGTATTTTTTTTTTTTTTTTGCCAATTGCAATAAATGAATATTTTGTTTTTAAGACGAAGTAACCAACTGAAGGCATTTCTATTAAAAAATGCCAAATCCTACCATACCAAGCTGAGCTGGAACAGTGTTTTACAGACACGTTAAAGACATTACCTGTTATGTTTTACTGTTTTGTTTTTGTTTTGTTATGTATCAATTTAAATTAAGTCAGTCTTTATTATCACTTCTGTTCAGAATGTTTTCATTTATTTCAGATGTTACAAAAAGGAGAGGAAATTAATTTAAAGCAGAAAAGAACAAGATAATAAAGGTTGAATTGAAGTCTGTGGTGGTTTGTTTTTTGTTTACCTACTGGATGCTATTCATAGATTTACCGTTGCTGTTTCAGGTTAAATTAATGATTTAATCCGTGGTGTTTTTATATGTAAAAAAGTGGTGGGGCACGAACAACTTAGATGTGTGTATATATAAGCTTCTGGTGCTTTTTTAAACACGTAAACAAATAGCTGTAGGCCAGGGATGCCCACACTTTTTCAGCTTGGTAGCTACTTTTGATAACAGGGCCGCCCCTGCCCAATCTGTGTCGCGGGGGGGGGGGGGGGGGGGGGGGATAAACTGTGGCGCGTTTACACTAATTGCGCCGCATTAGCGCATAATAGTTTAAGATGAGGAGGTGAGGCCCCCTCATAACTGCATGAACCCGTGTGGCACAATACAACTCACTACATTTTTGGGCCAGCCCGTAGCACTGGCGTTATAGAGGTTCGCCTAGGGCGCCAGATCGGGGATGCGCTGGCAGCTCGGGGAGGGAAAAAAACATTTTTGACCGTTGGTGCTCATCCTAATTTTCGGCCTTGATGTAACAATATTCATAATTCAGTAAATGTAACACCCCTTTCTATTTTTTTTAAATGCCATGTGATCTACTCACACTACCTTTGCGGTCGACACTAACTGGAAGAACGCAGACTAAAACGGCAATGTACAGACGAATCAGATGACTAAACATGATCTTAAAATATATTTGAACAGCTTTGTTCCATAGATACTGAAAAGCACAGTGACTTGGTCAACTATAGTGTGTTTCTTGGACCAAGAAAATATTTTAAAATCTCACTTATTCTTGTTAATAGTGCGAGAACACGTGAGGGGGAATGCTGCATTATACGTTTTCAAGCAGTCACTGATTTTTATCGCGTCACACGGTCATGTTTTATTCTGCTAAAAAGACTAATGAAGTAATTATAATGGCTAAAAGAGATGCAACCCTCAAGTTCAAGGTGTCCTCTGATGTATTGCTGTAGAAAAGAGTCATTTAGGTTTGCAAACATCGACTGACCTGGGTTGAGAGAGACATTTTAAGCATTTCTTACGAAAACCTATAACTTTAGCCAATTGCATGCAGACTATTTTGGGCTTTATCTGGGAAGTAATTATTCAGAGTAACTAACACAAATATTTATATAAAATTAAAAAATAACAAACAATATAATTGAAAGCTTATTATTTATATACTCTGTAATGTATGATAATATTTGCGTTTAAAAAACAATATATATTATTGTTAATTACACGGATGTATCTTACTTGCATCTTGTCACAATTTAACCGGTAATTTTATTTTCCAGTGAGCTCTCAAGAAGAGAATGGATGCTCCTGTTGAGGTAAGATAATTGCAAAAAGGAAAGACTACTTATATTTGTTTAGGTGTGTGTTAAAAAATACATTTCTTACTGAATGTTTTGAAAACAAAGTAAACTAGCTATTAGCATTTAAGCTAGGGAAGCGGTTTGTATGCTAACCTCTACATCATGGTGATTATTTTTTAAATGTTTATTAGCTCGTTTTTCATATCTTTTTACATCTTAAAAGTGTCTTTGAGCACCTGATAAAGCGCTTGATAAATAAAATGAATTATTATTTTTACTTACAGATAGTCATGGCAACTACTTTTAGGCCCAACAGACGTAATTAGCCTAGTGCAAGCTAAGCTAACAAAGGCTCCACGTTTAGCTCCAGACTAAGTACTTGGGGGAGAAGGGGGTAAATTGAGCCAGTGGGTAAATTGAACCACCCCCTATAACCAGGCAACGCCTTATAGTTGTAATCAAGTGACCAGAAAGTATGCAAGCTCCTCCCATTTCTCATTGCCTGTGAAAGAGAGATACTCATTGTGGTCTGATAAGTAAACATGTTTACAAAAAAACGTTTTTTTGCTTGTCAAAGTACATTTTGTCAGCTATATCGGCTGTCATGTCAAAAAAAAAGTATCCAGGTTTAAACACATATATTGTATATGTTGATGTGTTGGCAGCGTATTAAACCATGTGAATCATTAAGCTAAAGATGACTGAATTTTAACGCTAGGCTATTTTTTCTAAAATGGTGGCTATGGGGTAAAGTGAACCATGGGCCTCGGGGTAAGTTGAGCCAGTTTTTCAATGGAGAAATGAATGAAAGCAGGCCAAGTTGATAATAAGAGCTCATTGTAGGCTACATTTAAAGTTGAATGTACCCTGTGTTTGATTGGTAAGATGTATGAAATTGTATCACCATTTGTACGATTACTTTTCCTTTTAACATGTTAAAAAAAAATCAATCAATTCAATCGAAATGTATATTAAAAATATTTGAAAAACTAAGCTTGTATTTGGTTTGTTATTTATAGTTTATAGTTACCTTTAAGATTTGTTGTAGGTATGCCCAGGTTTGAACAGGTATGCCCAGGTTTGAACAGTGGTTCAATTGACCCCCTGACCTGGATCAATTTACCCCTACACTGGGGCAAGTTGAGCCACAAGACTTTTTTATTTTAAGAAGTCATATTTTCACTGCCCTTGATCAAATATTAATTATGATCATTGCCATTGATAGGAGACATTATAGGTGTGTGTTTTCATTTTTACTATGTGTCATTTCTCCTTGCTTAGAGGACAGCATAACAAAAAAATGGCTCAACTTACCCCACTCTCCCCCTACATGTTATACTGAAGTAAAAATAGTAATACAAAAATGTAAAAATACACAATAATAATAATTAAACGACTTTGGGATAATACATATTATGTGTTAAATAATGTATAATTATTGGTGCATTCATGCTACTTTAATTTAGCAGCTAGTTAAAGAAGGAGTTTCTTCATTTAATTTGTACTAAATACTGCCTGTAGTTTATTAATTCACCAGCAAAAACGTGTTATCTTAACCTACAGCACAACAAAGTATGTATTTGTTTGTTATATTTTGCATTATTAATCTAAATCTTGATGCAGTGTAATGATGTCATAAATAATATTTACCACTATAGTTACAGCAATTAGTGTTACACCGAGCAATGATATATGTGTTCCCTATTTTATATTTTAAGAATGAACGTCATTAAAAGTCATGCATTAGTTAAAATGCATGTAGCATCTCAAATTGAAGTGATGCGCTTAATTCATGCCTGCAGTATCGACGCTGTGCCTTTAAGAACATCCGGGTATTTCCTCCAGTCTGTGCATGACATCATTGATATTGTCAATGGTGTAAATGAGAGAGAGAGGGTGGGGGTGTGTGAGTAGAGAGAGAGAGAGAGAGAGAGAGAGAGAGAGAGGAGAGAGAGAGAGGAGAAAAGAGAGAGAGAGAGAGAGAGAGAGAGAGAGAGAGATAGAGAGAGAGATAGAGAGAGAGAGAGAGAGAGAGAGAGAGAGAGAGAGAGAGAGCACAGCACAGCACAGCACAGCAGCGACAGAGAAGGACCTCAGTGTCTGCTTTTGGCATTTTTCCTCCCCAAAAAACACTCAAATATCCTCACAGATAATCTTCCAGTGGCTTCTGTCTGCTGTATTTTTTTTTGCAAGGGGTTCGTTTTTTTCCGGAAGTGTTCGGGTTCGGGTTTCCGAGGTTATGAGCCGTCCGAAGCCGCTTTGGAGCGTCGCTGTCCGGGGTCCTGAGTGAGAGACAGCCACAGCAAACCTGACATAACCCGGTGAGGAGGAGGTTGAGGAGGTGGGGTGGGGGTCCATGTTGGCTAGTCAAGGTGTCTCGAGGCGTGTGTGTGTGTGTGTGTGTGTTAGTCAAATGGGTGTGTGTTTGTTAAGGGGTCCTAGCATTGAGGGTGCGGTTTTAGGAATTATCCCTACATTTTATGGTCATTCTGGGATGTGTTTTCCTCCAATTCTCCTGTGCTATCTGGAGCAAATGCACGACTCTCTGAAAACATCACGCCTGTTTTTTTGCAGCGTGTTGCAGCATTCTCAGTGTTGTAACACAGCAGCTCTGAGGAGAGATGAGGTAAAGGGTTTGGTAGTGTGACAGCAGCCAGGTAGCAGTAGTGCAAGTAAAATGATATATTGCACAGTTATTTACAGTCATTTCCTCACTTTTAGTCCCTGTTTGCTAATGTGCAGCATTTCCCCCTGCACAGTGCAATGTGGATGGGGTGTAGGTCTACAATGCAGCCACAAAGAACTTAGTCAGCATTTAGTGCAATGTCAAACTGGCTTGTAAATGTCGGAAAAAAACAAACCCCTCAGTTATGTCCTCACTTTTGAATCCCTGCTTCATGGCTCTTCAGACACACACAGAAAACATGACTCATGCGAAATCCGTCAGGGGACTCCAGTTCAAAAAAATTATACACAGAACCAGACTGCCTTGAAGTGCTTTGGGAAGAGTGTGTGAGAGGCTGATCCAACCCCCCCCCCCCCCCCCCCCCCCCCCATTTCCTACAGAATAAATCAGGTTACACAACTTCACACTTTAGCTATAGTCCCTTTTCCCCCTATGCACTTTCTAAACACTTACTTGGCCTATATTGTTGTTCTCTAAACTACCATAATATTTATTCCTCTGAAGTCGGATGTTTTTAACTTAACAAAACCTGGCCAACAGAAGCAGGGTGGTCCTGGGTATTGCTGCTATTATTGCTAGTGGGAGGCGTGTGGTGCAGTGGGTTGTGCGTTGGTGTTGGGATCAGGGTGTCACAGGTTCAAACCCCAATGCAGTCAGCATGTCGTTGTGTCCCTGAGACACTTCACCCCAAATTGCTCCTGTGGGGATTGCCCACAGTATTGAGTATGTAAGTCGCTTTGGATAAAAGCGTCTAACAAGTGACATGTAATGTAATATTGAAATAAGACAGTATTACACCTGTGTTGAGATTGTTACATGGGCATCCAGTAAATTGATTTGTGATGTTTAATTGATTAGACATTTTAATACTCTTTTGAATCCTAATATCTCTCTGATATGCTCGTGAGCTGCGATTCATTTCGACCCCTCAAGTTCCTGATTTTAACACTTGTTTTATATGTTTTATGTCATTATTTGATTTGTCTCTTATCAAATCTTACTGGTTGGCTAAATTCCTACTCCTTATCAGTTTGAACTATCATTTTAACTATCATAACAATCTTTCATGTGTCTTTTTTTGTGTGTGTTTACTTATGTCCTACTTTACTAAATCCACATGGTGTTTTTGGCTTAAACTTTTGTCGTTGCTCACTCATTGTGCGTCATATGTTTTTCTAGCGTGATTTAAACATGTTTTTCTCCCACATTGCATAAACTCACATGAAGTCACTCAGTAGCTAAAAGTAAGCAACTTTTTCCTCCACATTTCCAGAGATGTAACTCTTCTCCACGTCTCTGCTGAGCTTCAGTGATTTGCACTTTTTCATTTTCATCTCTGCCGCTTCCCAAAAGCTTCCCGTTTCACTTTCTTTCATGAAGTGAGTTTAAAGTCTGCAGATTTGCACCACTGTTCTTTTGCTCTATTGATCACCTCTGATTGATGACAGCTTTGTGTGTGTGTGTGTGTGTGTGTGTGCGTGTGTGTGTGTGTGTGTGTGTGTGTGTGTGTGTGTGTGTGTGTGTGTGTGTGTGTGTGTGTGTGTGTGTGTGTGTGTGTGTGTGTGTGTGTGTGTGTGTGTGTGTGTGTGTGTGTGTGTGTGTGTGTGTGTGTGTGTGTGTCAGTGAGTTGAAAAGCTCGGCAGCCATGGAGCTGAGGGTGGGGAACAAGTACCGCCTCGGGAGGAAGATCGGGAGCGGATCCTTCGGAGATATTTACCTCGGTGAGAGTTTACACTTCTTCTGTTAACCTGAATAAGACTAAGGTTTATTACCAAGTAAAATACACATGTTTAGAATGTACAAGGACATTTCTTTGATGCATGCACTTGTTGTTATATTCCATGGAATGCTCTTAACAACCCGATAGCAATGAATATATTAAATGCTTTGACAATAAATACATACAAAATGTCATCTGTGGAAGCCGTAGTGCTGTGAAAAGCACGACCAATCATCTGAGCCGGCCCGGCTAAAATAACTGGATGGCCTACCTGCCTGTCAGCCTTCCATCTGTGCACAAACTTATCTCGTGCCCTCATTGTATGGGCTCAGAACAGTCTCATAATACACACATGCACAGAGAAGAATCCACACTTGTATTTCCGGATCCACACTTGTGTTTTTCAATGCACACACACATGTGTTCCGTTTCATATACATGTAAATAAAATACAGACATTTTTTTTACATATGTATTTGTGATCCTCACATATTTGTTTTCCGTTTCCAATTCTAAGCCAATCACATGAGCGCGCCCCATGGAGGTAGATTTCTTGCATTCATGACGTAGCGCTTCATGTACGCATTTTGCGCTGTCCGGAGCTGACAGCTCCATGGAGCCTGCCTGCAGGCGCTAATCTCAGGACACCCTCCACTCTCAGTACAGCGCCACTTTCCGAACAGGAAATGCACGCAAATACAAGCCTTTATATTATTAAGGTAGGTAGGCCTACAGCGCCACTTTCCGAACCATTGACAAATGCTTGTGTACACAAAAACGGCAGGCAAAACCGTTTTAAATGTGTGTTTCCTGTATGGCGAATACAGCTGCTTTATTTATGTCTGTATGAAGTTGTTGTGAGTGTGGAGGGAGCAGCTACAGGTTAGCTTAGCCTAATCGACCAGTGCACTACGAAGCCAGTGCTAGACAGTGAACTGTCAACGGGGGGAGCCCCGCCGGTCATTATCGGCCGATATTCACTCTGAATAGTTTGATCGGTGCTCTCTATAAAGGCCGATCAGGAGAGCTGGATCTGATCGATATGGACATAAACGCGAGTGAAGTATAACCGGACGCAAGAGAGAGATCAGATCAGCTGCTGAGTCTGATGGAGACACGCAGCTCTGCATGATTACCTGAAGCTCCGCCCTCTGTTCTGGACAGTGCAAAAATGTGTATATGAAGTGTCATGAACGCAAGAAATCATACCCTCGTGGGGGCGCACTCATGTGATTGGCTTAGAATTGAGGAGACATCTGATTGGCTATAGATAGAAAAAATTACAAGTACGAATCGGCTGACCGTCAGGGGAGTCTCAAAAAACCCACACACGAATGCACAGCGATCCGTGCACAGGAAGCGGTTTGTGTTTGCAGGTTCAGGGGATTTAAACGGAAAACAAATATGTGAGGATCAAAAATACATAGGCCTATGTAAAAGTTTTTTCTGTATTTGGATTTTATTTACATGTATATGAAACGGAACACATGTGTGTGTGTGCATTGAAAAACACAAGTGTGGATCCGGAAATACAAGTGTGAATCCTTCTGTGTGCATGTGTGTATTATGAGACTGTTCTGAGCCCATATGTTTGGTCATGTGCGCATTCGTGTGTGTTGGAGGAGGGGCTCTGTAAGGAAGTCTGAAGGAAGGGGCACATTTTTTTTCGGTTGTGTATTTTCAAATTCTAGCGCACTGGAGCTGGTTTCTCCAAAATTACCCACCCCACCTTTAATACAGATATATATATTTTGTTTGCAATTATTTCTTTAATTGTATTTGTATTGTATTGTATATTTACATTTACTTATTTATTTACCTATTTATCTATTTATTTATCTATTTATCTATTTATCTATTTATCTATTCATCTGTTTATCTATTCATCTATTTTTTACATTTATTTCCTTCTAAAAAGAAGAAACTGTACCGAAACCCAATTCCCCCTCGGATATTTAAAAGTATTGTGATTCCTCCCTCCAGGCTCTAACATCGCTACCGGGAGAGGAAGTGGCCATAAAACTGGAATGTGTGAAAACCAAACATCCACAGCTCCACATCGAGAGCAAGTTCTACAAGATGATGCAGGGCGGAGGTAAGAAGTGTGGCAGGTTTCTGAAAGCTTTACTACGGGGCGCCGAGAGGCAGCGGAGAGTTTAAGAGGTTATTTAGAGCCACTGAGGGGAATAATGATTGCCGTTCTTCAGGAGGGAATTCTGCGTGTCATTTAAGAGCCTTATTAGAGGTGCATTCAGGGACACTGAACGTAGTCTATAATTAAAGAGCATTTAAAGGTCACCTATCATGCTATTTTTAGGCATATATTATGGGTCTCAGATATATACAAATATATAAAAACATGTCTATGATGTGTTTTTCTCAAAATACAAACAGATCATGCATTTTAGAAATCCCTCAAACCCCTCTTTTACAGCCCTGTTAGAGAAAGGGGGATTTTGGGTCCTTGGCTTAAAAAAAAAAAAGAGGAGGTGGAGCTAATGCCTGATTAGAATTCTACCGGAGATAAAGTTAAATTCTGCTGTGATGAAATGCCATCCTGTTCTAAACCACATCAAGGATTATTTCTGAAACAGTATGGAGCTCAAAGGCTTTCTCTCTTGCCGGTTATACCACAAGGTGAGTTCCTTTTTTTATTTCCTGCTTCTTCACACACTCTCTCCAGTACAGGTTAGCTCTGAGTGTTAGCGATGCTAATGTAAACACAGACCATATTACGTCCAAAACAGTCAGGCATCCAATCCAACTTTATTTATATAGCACTTTAAAACCTCCAGACCATGTGCTGTACAGAGAGATACATAAAATATAAAATCACACAGCTCAGCTCACAAAACATTAAATAAATAAGGCATTGTTTCTAATAGCAACTTGCCGTGGGTCCACATTTCCGAAATTACGTCACATCGGACGCAAATTTGGATCAGCTCCGTTGTTCCCCGTTTTTAGAGATTTGGGTACGGAGGAAAAGAGAGAGGGTTTTATTTTCTGATGCTGCGTGAGTTCCCCGACACACCGGGACACATGTTTATAAAAGACATCAGAAAGTGCATTTTACATGATAGGTCCCCTTTAAGTCACTTAAGGATTGTTGAGAGACCTTTATGGTGGTGTAGTAGCATTGAGAAGTAGTGAAAGGTGAAAGGTGATGAAGCTTACATTTTGAATTAATACATCTTCGATTATCCAGGGAGGGGAGAATTCACTTGTTACGTCCAAAACAGAAAAATGGTGAGAAAGGAAGATGAATAACTTTTTTAATGAAAAAGGAATTAGATATATTAAGTTAAAAAGCTATATTATATTTGTTCTTAAGAAATATAGACAGTGCAATAATGGCCAACATGGTGTGTACTGTTAATAATAAGTATTTAGGTATAAGTGACAAATATAATAATCATTACATGTGAAAGTGTTAAAAAATGTCTGTAAATCTTTTAACATAAAATTGTAGTACTATATCATTTTATAATATTTGTATTACTATATTAACTGCATTTTTGGTTTAATTTAACACGGCAATTTGAGTTGTATTATCATATCAACAGAACTCATAAAAACAACAAATGTTGTAACATAAAATATTAATTTAAGCCAAGAAATTCATAATGCAACCATACATTAAATTAAGAGGAGATAATAGGTACTTTTTAGTTTTTCAACCCTGTGTTTCCTAATTCTCTGATTCCCCCCCCCCCTAAACACCTGCATAACATTCATCTGTGTGTAACTCATATATATTGTTGGGGAATAATTTGCCCTGCATGTCCTCCTTCGCCCTCTGACGCAGCTGACCAGCCTTGAGCAGCCGTTATCTCCCATAAGGAGGGGCTGCCCTAGCAAGTTGTTGATGTTACCAGTTTGTGACCGGGCAACTCTCGGTCAGAGGTAGTTATTGTTGTGGGACACCTGGAACACATCCTTCTCGGGGTGTAGATAAGCCATAAGCGACAACAAAGTTGATTCAGTGTCCTCAGCTGTTTAGTCTATCTGTTGAAGAATGTTGATTATTCCCTGAGAACTAGCTAAATACATGAGTCTGGGGTATAGAGGTCTTCAGAATTGATTGTGGCATCTCAACTCGTGACATGTCTTGTGAATTCTCCGGCCGAAGCTCCAAATAAACCGTCAGTGTTTGCCATCAAAGCTCCAGCTCTCCTCGTGTCTCTGAGAGTCCTTTCTCCAATTGCTTCAGAAGTTTCCCCCACATATATCAATATTCCAATGACTTGTATATAGACTATTCAGCACTATTTTTTATTATATTATATTCTATTTTATTTTATTTACTTGCACTGTTATCTGTTTCATTGTGTTGCTCTGTTGGAGGAGCCTGTGACCTCAGATGTTCATTGTCATAACTACACTGTAGCTATGTACGAATGAGCAATAAAAGCCTTGAATCTTGAACCTCCCTCAGTGGGAATCCCGTCTATAAAGTGGTGCGGAGCTGAAGGCGACTACAACGTGATGGTGATGGAGCTGCTGGGCCCCAGTCTGGAGGATCTGTTCAACTTCTGCTCCCGCAAGTTCAGCCTGAAGACCGTCCTGCTGCTGGCCGACCAGATGGTGAGACACACCGCACTGTAAAAAACAAACCTCCCATCCCAAAAAATAATACGTTAATCAGGGTTTTTCCTGAGATCCATAGCCGTTTATTACCCTTCAGTCTCTCTGTAGCAGCTAATCACTTTAAGAGCTCGCTGAACAACACTGCTTTTCTTAATGGAGTCTTTGCAGAGAGGTTCCTCATGAGGGCACCTAAGGTGAAACTATACTCAAACAGTGATGGTAATAGAAGGTACACATTAAAGGTCCCCTATTATACTGCTTCTCATCAATATATCACAGGTCTCAGATATATACAGAACCTGTCTCTGATTGGCTGAAACACCAAACAGATCATTGCAGCATTACCCATAATCCCCTCTGTTTCAGCCCTGTTTCCAAAGTGCTGATTCTCTGTCTGTTACTTCAGATGAAAATAAGGAGCCCCTCCCCACGCCCCTCTGAGAGAGATTTGGTTACAAAGAACTCAATGGTGCTCTAGGAGGAGATTCAGGTGATAAGGAGGGGGGGGGGGGGTTACCTTGGTTGCTGATTGGCTAATGGTTACACAAGACAAAACATTGTTATGACATCATAAAGTGGCCAAAATCTGATCGGCTCATTTTCAGACAGGTTTTTATAGAAATTGATCAAAAAGAGAGAGAATCTTTGATCCTGAAACTTTCAGAGTCTCTTTCCACAGAGGGGACACATGTTGATGTAGAAGAGACATGGAGAAGAGGGGACACATGTTGATGTAGAAGAGACATGAAGAAGAGGGGACACATGTTGATGTAGAAGAGACATGAAGAAGAGGGGACACATGTTGATGTAGAAGAGACATGAAGAAGAGGGGACACATGCTGATGTAGAAGAGACATGAAGAAGAGGGGACACATGTTGATGTAGAAGAGACATGAAGAAGAGGGGACACATGTTGATGTAGAAGAGACATGAAGAAGAGGGGACACATGTTGATGTAGAAGAGGCATGAAGAAGAGGGGACACATGTTGATGTAGAAGAGACATGAAGAAGAGGGGATCATGTTGATGTAGAAGAGACATGAAGAAGAGGGGACACATGTTGATGTAGAAGAGACATGAAGAAGAGGGGACACATGTTGATGTAGAAGAGACATGAAGAAGAGGATTTTGCATAATAGGTGTCTATTGGATACATTTTGGCCCTTGGTGTGTTAAATGGTCTGCAAAGTCTGTCCCACACACTACTACCACTGGCTAGCGCTCCAACACATTGTACGTGATAGGCTAAGGCGCGGGACATCTGTAAGCGGTTGACCAATCACAACAGAGCCGGCCAGCTAACCAATCAGAGCAGACTGGGCTCTGGTTTCAGACAGAGGGTGAAAAGAGGTGCTGCAGTACAGGCAGTATGAGAAAAATAAAGAGCTTTTTGAACATTAAAGCATGGAGACATGTAGAGACACTACATACTGATATACACCTGCACATCAGCAGGAGAGGACTCTTTAAAGTAGAGACACTACATACTGATATACACCTGAACATCAGCAGGAGAGGACTCTTTAAAGTAGAGACACTACATACTGTTATACACCTGAACATCAGCAGGAGAGGAACTCTTTAAAGTAGAGACACTACATACTGATATACACCTGGACATCAGCAGGAGAGGACTCTTTAAAGTAGAGACACTACATACTGATATACACCTGAACATCAGCAGGAGAGGACTCTTTAAAGTAGAGACACTACATACTGATATACACCTGAACATCAGCAGGAGAGGACTCTTTAAAGTAGAGACACTACATACTGATATACACCTGAACATCAGCAGGAGAGGACTCTTTAAAGTAGAGACACTACATACTGATATACACCTGAACATCAGCAGGAGAGGACTCTTTAAAGTAGAGACACTACATACTGATATACACCTGAACATCAGCAGGAGAGGACTCTTTAAAGTAGAGACACTACATACTGATATACACCTGAACATCAGCAGGAGAGGACTCTTTAAAGTAGAGACACTACATACTGATATACACCTGAACATCAGCAGGAGAGGACTCTTTAAAGTAGAGACACTACATACTGATATACACCTGAACATCAGCAGGAGAGGACTCTTTAAAGTAGAGACACTACATACTGATATACACCTGAACATCAGCAGGAGAGGACTCTTTAAAGTAGAGACACTACATACTGATGTACACCTGAACATCAGCAGGAGAGGACTCTTTAAAGTAGAGAACCTATATACTGATATACACCTGAACATCAGCAGGAGAGGACTCTTTAAAGTAGAGACACTATATACTGATATACACCTGAACATCAGCAGGAGAGGACTCTTTAAATTAGAGACACTACATACTGATATACACCTGAACATCAGCTGGATAGGACTCTTTAAAGTAGAGACACTACATACTGATATACACCTGAACATCAGCAGGAGAGGACTCTTTAAAGTAGAGACACTACATACTGATGTACACCTGAACATCAGCAGGAGAGGACTCTTTAAAGTAGAGAACCTATATACTGATATACACCTGAACATCAGCAGGAGAGGACTCTTTAAAGTAGAGACACTACATACTGATATACACCTGAACATCAGCAGGAGAGGACTCTTTAAAGTAGAGACACTACATACTGATATACACCTGAACATCAGCAGGAGAGGACTCTTTAAAGTAGAGAACCTACATACTGATATACACCTGAACTTCAGCAGTAGAGCACTCTTTAAAGTAGAGACACTACTTACTGATATACACCTGAACATCAGCAGGAGAGGACTCTTTAAAGTAGAGAACCTACATACTGATATACACCTGAACTTCAGCAGTAGAGCACTCTTTAAAGTAGAGACACTACATACTGATATACACCTGAACATCAGCAGGAGAGGACTCTTTAAAGTAGAGACAAACATACTGATATACACCTGAACTTCAGCAGTAGAGCACTCTTTAAAGTAGAGACACTACATACTGATATACTCCTGAAATAAGTATAATAAAGCCCCTTTAGGTATTTTGTATTAATGACAAAGTTATGTTTTACTCTATTTATTACCTTGGAAGGCAGGTTAGTGTTCTTTTTATTGAGTTTTTGTGGTTTGTGAAGCACTTGGTGTTACCTTTTGTGTATGAAAACGGCTATATAAATAAAGTTTGATTTGATTTAGACTTGTAGAGAGCATCCCGCTAATAGTTGCTCTATTTCAGACAATAAATTACTTTTACTCATCTTGTTTGGTGGTAGATTTGCGATGCTGGAAGTCTTTACATCCCTGCTATATGTGTGTGTGGTCTAAAAGTGAGAGTGAGTTTTAAAGCACGAGACTCATTGCCCAGTGAAATAAAGGTTGAGTCATTGGTTTTGATCAATAACCCTGTCGGCCTATCAGCAGATATATAGAGGGCAATTAATGTTATGAGAGAGTTAAAATGTTAGTTATTGCTCCTTTAGAGAAGAGGAGAGGAGCGATGATACAGCAGAGAGAGCGGTTAGGAGAAGAGGTCAAAGTTACGCAGAGAAAACGGGACGAAAAGAACAAATGTGACTGAAGAAGGACACGAGGGATTACATCCAGCACACTGACCCCTGCGACGAGGACTAGGTCTTCAGGATCTCCCGTGTCCTAGATAGCGTTTGACTTTCATGGAGGAAGCTGAATGTTCGGAGATAGCGAGGGGATACGCTTTGTCTCGAGCCGGGAAACAAGCTTCAGAGGTTTGGATGGAGATATTCCACAAATGATCCACTTAGTTGCAGTCAAAAAATAACCACATATTGAAATCTGCGCCACTGCCCAGACCGAGGTTGACTTATGTGCAAGAAAAGGTGCACGTTTAGACAGCTGAGGTCTTTTTAAATATGATTGGAAATGCATCATCAACTCCTTTTTTCCAGTGGTGGATAGTAACAAAGTACATTTACTCAAGTACGGTACTTAAAGGTGGGTATGTAATTCACTTCAGAAACACTTTTTGTTATATTCCATGGAATGCTCTTAACATCCCGATAGCAATGAATATCTTAAATGCTTTGACAATAAATATACATAAAAACATTTCATCTGTGGAAGCCGTGTCGCTGTAAAAAGCACGACCAATCATCTGAGCTGGCTAAAATAACTGGATGGCCGACCTGCCTGTCAGCCTTCCATCTCGTGCACAAATTTATCTCGTGCCCTCATTGGTCATGTGCGCGTTCGTGTGTGTTGGAGGAGGGGCTCTGTCAGGAAGTCTGAAGGAAGGGGCAGATTTTTTCCGGCTGCGTACTTTCAAATTCTAGCGCACTCGAGCTGGTTTCTCCATTCTTACCTACCCTATCTTTAAGGAACATTTTGAGGTATGGAATATTCTCCATTTATGCTCCCTTACAATTTAGACGCCAATATTGTACTTCTTACTCCATCCACTACATTTATTTGAAAGCTTTTAGTTACTCTTTAGATTTAGATTATTAGCTTGTACAAAATATACATCAAGTGTTAAATATACATTGACATATTTTTATAGGTTATGATATCCAGCAGCAGTATATCAAGTATTTAAATTAGTTCCACATTTAATCAGCCGTGATAAAAACACATCAATAATCTAAATGGTAACCCAGTGACTCAATATATATTTGATTCGGAAATAGGACATTACGCATAGCGAGTACTTTCACTATTAATTATATAACTTGATGCCGAATACTTTTGTACTTTAACTTAAGTAAGATTTTGAATGCAGGACTTTTACTTGTACTAAAGTACTACTATTACTTGAGTAAAAAAATCTTCCACCACTGCTATTTTCAATAATATTAGCATACACTGTGGCGACAGTGGCTGCGAGGGAGTGCGGTCGTCTTTCAACCAGAAGGTTGTGGGTTCGATCCCAGCCCGTGCAGTCAACATGTCGATGTATCCTTGGGCAAGATACTGAACCCTGAGTTGCTCCCGATGGCCAACGGTGTGTGAATGTGTGTGAATGTTAGGTCCTAGAGTAAGGTACACTGCTCTGTATGAATGGGTGTGAATGGGTGAATGACATGTAGTATGTAAAGCACTTTGAGGGGTCTTAAAGACTGGATAAAGCTCTATATAAGTACAGTCCATACATAGCACTAACTCTCCTGTTCCTACATCTCTCTTTTTTCTCCAGATCAGCAGGATTGAATACATCCACTCCAAGAACTTCATCCACCGAGACGTGAAGCCCGACAACTTCCTGATGGGTCTCGGTAAGAAGGGCAACCTGGTGTACATCATCGACTTCGGCCTCGCCAAGAAGTACCGCGACGCCCGAACGCACCAGCACATCCCGTACCGCGAGAACAAGAACCTGACCGGCACCGCCCGCTACGCCTCAATTAACACACACCTGGGCATCGGTGAGACACACAGATGTTAGCCTAGAGTGTGTGTGAAAGTGTGTCTGCTCAGCAAAATGTCAGGAGAATTCGTGCCGGGTAATTAAGGACCATCTATGACTAATGATAAGACTCACGTTCAGTTTTAGAACAAACACAGAAATAACTATGGGAATATAATGACTTCCAGAAAAGACTTTCCTTTATTTGAAAGGTAATGCAAATAACTAAATACAATCTAGCAAACTTTAGATATATAAGGAACTGTTTGACAACACCTGTAGCAAAACTCTGTATGACTGCCATGATCACCAGCTAGACAGCTGGACCAGGACCCTATCTCAAGGCTACAGTATATTAGTATACGTGATTTGTTCTAAATAGAGAAAGTATTTGCAAATTAAAAGTACTCATCAATCTGAAAACTTAAAAAATGAGAAAAATGGGTCATTTAATTTTGATGTATTTCACCGGCACTTTAATTCCTTTTTATTTGCATTTTAAGAGTTGTATAGACACAGGAAATAAATAACAAAATGAGATAAAGTTCAGACTAAAATACATTAAATAACTCAATAAAAACCCTCAAAAAATATATATTAACAATGATAAATGAATAAATAAAATACAAATACTACACCGCTCAATTGCAAATCTTAACTACTGACTGAACAAAACCCCTTTCTAAGCTACAACAGATGATTTTATGAAATTCCTTCCATTGACCTCCATTGATTTCAAGTCAATTTGAGCTTGTGAAAGGTAATCCAGGGCTGTCAAGATTTTCTCCAACTGTAACTGAAAATGTGTCGACTGGACTCTCTGAACTTCTTTCTTAAACGTTCCTCTTCCTCCTTCCTCGTTCTTTATCTTTCCTTCTTCTTCTTTCCTCAACAATATGTTTGTATTTCACGTTCTCCTCTCCTCTGTGTGATCTCCTGTCCTCCACAGAGCAGTCGAGGCGAGACGACCTGGAGTCTCTGGGCTACGTCCTGATGTACTTCAACCTGGGCTCTCTGCCCTGGCAGGGCCTCAAGGCCGCCACCAAGAGGCAGAAGTACGAACGCATCAGTGAGAAGAAGATGTCCACCCCCATCGAGGTGCTCTGCAAGGGATACCCCTGTGAGTAGATATAGAAACAATGAAACAATAGAAAGGCCACTTTAAAACACCAGAGCTGCACAATCTGTCGAATATAAATTGCAATCATGATTTTCTCAACCCACTATTAATTGAACAAGATTGACTGTGATATTGAGATTTAAAATGCAACTAACAGACATATTTGACAGGTCAGTGGCAGACATGGACATGTGACACACACACACACACACACACACACACACACACACACAAAGAAGCAACAGTTATCCATGTCCTTTGTCCTATATGACACGTGACTACCTGAGAAATAAATTGTTTGTACTCAGTTGCATCTTCTTCTGACTCCTCTTTCAGTCAAATCCGTTGTAACTGTACACACACTCTGTAAATAAAGTTAACTATGATTCTGACTTCTCTCCAGCTGAGTTCTCCACCTACCTGAACATGTGTCGCTCGTTGCGGTTCGACGACAAGCCGGACTACTCGTACCTGCGGCAGCTCTTCAGAAACCTCTTCCACCGACAGGGCTTCTCCTACGACTACGTCTTCGACTGGAACATGCTGAAGTTTGTGAGTCAAACAGATGGTGTTTATAGTTAGCTGACATTTCGTTTTGCACCATGCTTTCACAGATTAGTCTAAGATTGGGGCTTCAAAAAACATTTTCCTTTTTGATTTGTCAAGTCAAAGTCAACTTTATTGTCAATCTTTCAGTTTGTGTGTACAGACAGAGATCGAAATACAGTTTCCCACAATCCCGAATATAAAAATACAAATATATATAGAAATATGCATATACTACACACACACACAATCAAAAGACACATTATACATATACCCACATTAAGACCTAAATAAAGGCACACAAATCAATAAAATAACAGTCACTTCAATATGTACATTAGTGCAAGACTGTCCATAGCAGCGTATTTGGTCCATTTTGTCTTTATTTATTAATTTATTTTGAATAATTTAATTAGTTTAACAGGATGAGTGAGGGTAGAATTACATTACATTCAAGATTTCATGACACCAAGAAATTAATTGGCAGTAAAATTTGACTTAAATGAGATTAATACTTCATCCCCACTCATTTTTTCAAAACAAACACTGACCAAACCAAAGCGTATTTGGTCCATTTTGTCGTCTGAACGGTTCCTCTGTGTTTCAGGGAGCCAGCAGGACGAAGGAGGAAGGAGCGAGGGAGAGGAGGGAGGGGAAAGAGGGGAAAGAGGGGAACGAGGGGAAAGCGGGGAAAGAGGGTGAGGAGCGAGCGGGAGGAGGTCAGAGAGCAGCTGGAGGTCGAGCTCTGCCTCCTGGACCCAGCCCGGCAGCCGCTAACAGAGTCAGGAACGAGGCGGACGCTGCGCCCTCCACCCCGGCCCCGCGGGGGGTCCAGCCGTCAGGTCAGGAGGGGGGTTGTTAGTGATGTTACGTTCGAGAATGATCCGATTCTTTTGAACGGCGCTTTGGTACGAACGAAGGGAACCGAGTGGTACTTGGTGAGAGCCGTTCTTCAGTGGTTCAGGTGGACGACGTGTTTTTAGAGTGGAAACGCAGCAGCATTTGGATGCACTTCGACAAAAACATAGGCAATGATAAAGCGGAGTGCAACATTTGAAAGCCAAAATATCATTTAAAGCAGGGTCAACAAATAATCTCCACCTCCACTTTAAAAAAAAAAAAACGTCTCTTTTGAACGGCTCTCGGAAAGGAACGGAGCCATAAGATCCGGCTCCCTTCAAAGAGCCGTACATCCCATCACTACAAGACCATTAGTCTGTTAAAGGAAAGAAAAACCCTAACCCTAAACCTGCTTTTTTTTTTACGTGTGTACCAAAATAACAGCTCTAAAGTCTCTTGTGTTTCTCTTTTTGAAAAGAAACTAATGCTGTATCATGGTCAAAGTCAACTTTATGGTCATTTTCTCTGTGTGACACAAACAGGGAGATGGAAATCCCGTTTCTCACCATCCCGCTGTTATGAAGAGTTATTTCCTCTCACGCAGGTGCAGGAATGACGTGATGTTGGCTTTTAGTTTGTACTCTTTGCATAGTGCTCAAGTGCGACTTCTGGCCCAGATGCAGGACACATGAGGCAGCAGCATTACATCTAGATTCTTGAATGTTGGTTGTGTGTGTCTGAGCTTTTTAAGGTCACCTATTATGCAAAATCCTCTTCTTCATGTCTCTTCTACATCAACATGTGTCCCCTCTTCTTCATGTCTCTTCTACATCAACATGTGTCCCCTCTTCTTCATGTCTCTTCTACACCAACATGTGTCCCCTCTTCTTCATGTCTCTTCTACATCAACCTGTGTCCCCTCTTCTTCATGTCTCTTCTACATCAACATGTGTCCCCTCTTCTTCATGTCTCTTCTACATCAACATGTGTCCCCTCTTCTCTCATGTCTCTTCTTCATCAACATGTGTCCCCTCTTCTTCATGTCTCTTCTACGTCAACATGTGTCCCCTCTTCTTCATGTCTCTTCTACATCAACATGTGTCCCACTCTTTCGTCCCCTCTTCTTCATGTCTCTTCTACATCAACCTGTGTCCCCTCTTCTTCATGTCTCTTCTACATCAACCTGTGTCCCCTCTTCTTCATGTCTCTTCTACATCAACATGTGTCCCCTCTTCTTCATGTCTCTTCTACATCAACCTGTGTCCCCTCTTCTTCATGTCTCTTCTACATCAACCTGTGTCCCCTCTTCTTCATGTCTCTTCTACATCAACATGTGTCCCCTCTTCTTCATGTCTCTTCTACATCAACATGTGTCCCCTCTTCTTCATGTCTCTTCTACATCAGCATGTGTCCCCTCTTCTTCATGTCTCTTCTACATCATGTGTCCCCTCTTCTTCATGTCTCTTCTACATCAACATGTGTCCCCTCTTCTTCATGTCTCTTCTACATCAACATGTGTCCCCTCTTCTTCATGTCTCTTCTACATCAACATGTGTCCCCTCTTCTTCATGTCTCTTCTACATCAACATGTGTCCCCCTCTTCTTCACGTCTCTTCTACATCAACATGTGTCCCCTCTTCTCCATGTCTCTTCTACATCAACATGTGTCCCCTCTTCTTCATGTCTCTTCTACATCAACATGTGTCCCCTCTTCTTCATGTCTCTTCTACATCAACATGTGTCCCCTCTTCTTCATGTCTCTTCTATATCAACATGTGTCCCCTCTTCTTCATGTCTCTTCTACATCAACATGTGTCCCCTCTTCTCCATGTCTCTTCTACATCAACATGTGTCCCCTCTTCTTCATGTCTCTTCTACATCAACATGTGTCCCCTCTTCTTCATGTCTCTTCTACATCAACATGTGTCCCCTCTTCTTCATGTCTCTTCTACATCAACATGTGTCCCCTCTTCTTCACGTCTCTTCTACATCAACATGTGTCCCCTCTTCTCCATGTCTCTTCTACATCAACATGTGTCCCCTCTTCTTCATGTCTCTTCTACATCAACATGTGTCCCCTCTTCTCCATGTCTCTTCTACATCAACATGTGTCCCCTCTTCTTCATGTCTCTCCTACATCAACATGTGTCCCCCTCTTCTTCATGTCTCTTCTACATCAACATGTGTCCCCTCTTCTTCACGTCTCTTCTACATCAACATGTGTCCCCTCTTCTCCATGTCTCTTCTACATCAACATGTGTCCCCTCTTCTTCATGTCTCTTCTACATCAACATGTGTCCCCTCTTCTTCATGTCTCTTCTACATCAACATGTGTCCCCTCTTCTTCATGTCTCTTCTACATCAACATGTGTCCCCTCTTCTTCATGTCTCTTCTACATCAACATGTGTCCCCTCTGTGGAAAGAGACTCTGAAAGTTTCGGGAACAAAGATTCTCTCTCTTTTTGATCCATTTCTATAAAAACCTGTCTGAAAATGAGCTGATCAGATTTTGGCCACTTTATGATGTCATAACGATGTGTTGTCTTGTGTAACCATTAGCCAATCACCAACCAAGGTAACCCCCCCCCCACCTTATCACCTGAATCTCCTCCTAGAGCACCATTGAGTTCTTTGTAACCAAATCTCTCTCAGAGGGGCGTGGGGAGGGGCTCCTTATTTTCATCTAAAGTAACAGACAGAGAATCAGCACTTTGGAAACAGGGCTGAAACAGAGGGGATTATGGGTAATGCTGCAATGATCTGTTTGGTGTTTCAGCCAATCAGAGACAGGTTCTGGATATATCTGAGACCTATAATATATTGATGAAAAACAGTATAATAGGGGACCTTTGAATCAAGTGTGTGTGTGTACAGGTAACCGCTCCCCTCAGGCGGGCAGAGCAGAGCGAGCTGAGCGAGAGAGGAAGGTGGCCATGAGGCTGCATCGTGGAGCTCCAGCCAAAGTCTCCTCCTCCGACGTCACTGCACGCCTCGAGCAGTCTCGCTTAACTGCCTCACAGGTAGGGAGAGTGGGGCTTGGCATTACATTTAAAATGCATAATAAATCAACAACAGAGGTAAAAAGAAAACTACAAAAAAATGAAGACACAGAAAGACACAACATCAAATAGATAGAGAAAAATACACAGAATTACAACAAAATATTGGCAAAACAACCACAGAAGACAAAACATGGCATGCAATGATCATTAATAGACACAAAAGCACAACACGACGAAGCTAAACAACTATAAGGTCTTTGTGTCTTGCTCCTTTGTGGGAGAAGAGGTGGGGCTTTTACATACTGTATCCATACTGTGCTCCAGGGCCCATTGTTCGATAATATTTCTATGCTAGCAGCACAGCTTTGTGAGAAGAAAACGCCTCTTACAGAACACATACTGTATATTCATATTCTGAACAAATAGCCCAAATCACTAAACCCAAGAGGTCAATAAATAACTTTTTCAAGATCTTTCAAGATTCAAGGCTTGATTGTCATATGCACAGTAGTTACAGTTTAGATATGGCAATGAAAAACGTCAGTCCCAGGCTCCTCCAACAACGCAACATGAATATATATAGGACATAAAACGATTGGACGTGGGAGAGCTATAATATTGCGCCTTTTGATCTGCTTTAAGCTTTTCATCTCTCCCTCCTCTCTCAGGTCAGTGTGCCGTTTGAACATCTGGCAAAATGAATTCTTCCTGGCCTGCAGGTCAGTGGCAGGTATGGACACACACACACACACACACACACACACACACACACACACACACACACACACACACACACATACACATACCATGTATACATCACTTCAGGGGACATTACATTGACTTACATGCATTTTCTCGAGACTTATCCTAACCTTAACCATAACCAACACATGCCTAACCCTAACCCTAACCAAGTCTTCACCCTAAAATTAATGATTCCGCTCATGGGGACCTCCATTATGTCCCTATAAGGGAAGCGAGTCCACACACGTGACTGTGTAAACAGATTTAGGTCCCCACAAGGATAGTAATGCTAGGCCACACACACACACACACACACACACACCAGCATGTTTGTCCTGAATGACACCTGACTCCCTGAGAAAGAAATAGTTTACACTCAGTTGTTATTTAACTACAATGATTAATACAAAAATACCAATTGTTTCTCAGAAATCCAGATACAGGCGGAGAAAAGGATGTACAACATTTAAGATGACATTTCCCCGTGAAATGTTCTTTTTCTTTTAGACATTTTATTCCACTGTAGGCTCGTTTCTATAATGATGTCTCGGACATTATGAGACAAAAGTAACCTGTTTTGCAGTTGCAATGATTTAGTTTAAAGGTCCCATGTCATGCTTTTCTGGTTATCACCCGTCCCCTTGTTGTTATGAAGGTTTGTCTGCATGTAAACGGTCTGCAGAGCCACAAACCCTCAAAGTACACCCTGTAGCGAGTACAACTCTAACACAGAAAAGACCTGTCGAGGCTGCCCCAGAACGCCTCGTTGGAGATTTCTCTTTTTCCATTGTTTACTTCTTGGGTATCGTGACGTATTTCGGGTATAGTGACGTAACGTAACGGCCATTATGTTACGTCCGCGGAGCCGTTACGTTTGGACCAATCCGCGGACTTCCTCACACACACACACACACACACACACACACACACACACACACACACACGGCGGGACGTTGCGAGGCTCGCTGCTGCGAGGAGCGGGACACTATGAGGAACTCAGCCTGGGCACACACACAAACTCCCAGCCAGGCTGCGGGTGTGTGTGTGTGTGTTTCGGGCTGGGCTTTGCTTTGCTGTGTCTCGCTGTGTCTCGCAGACGGCCACTGGGCTCAGAGGGAGGGAGGGGGGGGGGGCAGGAGCTCCAACAAGCCGTTTAGGACAGAGAGTGAATACACATACTATACAGAGATGCTGTATGAGAAACCATTGTGAGTTTGGAACATTGAATAATATAAATGTATTCTAGTAGACCTCAACAATGGAATTATGATCAGTAGAAATGGCCATGACGTGAGACCTTTAATACAAACAAACCATCAAAGATGTTTGTCTGTCACTTAGACCTAAAACCTGAGTAAAAAGGGTCTATAAAATATTATAGATACTATAATACTAAATGTACCCTTTAAACTTTTTAGTAGGAATTAATTACATGGTAAGGAAGTCAGATCGATTTGAGAGAAGGTCTAATGCAATGTGTATCATCACATGGGATCTGTTTCCTAAACAAACACACATTTCATCCTATAATGAAGCCCAAAAGTGAAATGTATCTTCTATGTTTTCTTGCTTGTGCTTCAGCAGCTGCAGGGTGTTAAATAGCCCTTAATTTTCAGTGGATGAATGAAGAGATGAATGAGTTTCTGAGGACCAGAGGAGCAGCAGGAGGCGTTTCGGGCCTTTAAAGAGGGAGTGGAGGCCGTCCGTGTGTCTGTCAGTGTGCTGTGTGAACAGTGGTGACCAGGAAGAGCCGGAGAAACACTGAGATGTTAAAAAAAAGCGGGACACACAAAAAACTCTGGATCTGATTGGTTCTGCTTTTTTCCGGGTTGTGGCCGCAGCAGGAAGTGGGTCAAACAGGCCCCGCCCTCTTCTTCACTCATCTTCACCTGCCCATCGACTCGAGGCTCAACTTGCAAAAATAATCCATCAAAGTGCACAAAACGGACTAAATTGAAGTTATTCTGTGGTTTACACCTGTGATAAAAAAAATGTAAAATCAGCTATAAAACCTGCTAATGTTTAAGAGCTCCATCCGCTGCTTATGGTGTTCTTGATTATAAACAAATATGTAAACAACTATGGAGACAGTGTATTCAGGCTCAAAACAGATGGATCAAAGAGCGTGTGAGAGGCTGCTTTTCGTCAATATGTGTCGGTGTCTGTCTGTGTTACTGTCTGAAGTGTTTGCTTTAGAAAGCCTATAGGATGGAGGAGATTAGAGTGACTGTGAATGAATTATAACAGAAGAATAGTCCCAATTAAAATGGAAAGGGAGAGCCATGAGGATTGTACGATATGATAAAGCCTTTAGCGTGCCATGTATGAAAAGACTAGAGAAAGTTTTAACATATTCACTGGTGAACAAGTTTGTATTGTTTTTTAGTTCTTTTTCATTTTTTACTACATGTATAATGTGTAGATACCTCAAAATGACTACAAAGAGACGTAAGAAAGGGTCAAAAATCATCCAATACAACTACAAAAAGACACAAAAGGACTCCAACCTATAGGCTGCACAAGGAGCAAAACGACCACAGACAAAACATAATTTGAGAAAGTTATAAAATTAACTATTTTTTATTATAGTTTTTTTACTTTAGCTTCTTTTATTTCACACACATACCATGTATACATCACTTCAGAGGACATTACATTGACTTACATGCATTTCCTGGAGACTTATCCTAACCTTAACCATAACCAACACATGCCTAACCCTAACCCTTAACCTAAACCTAACCAAGTCTTCACCCTAAAATTAATGATTCCCTTATGGGGACCTCCATTTTGTCCCCATAAGGGAGGCGAGTCCCCACACGTGACTGTGTAAACAGATGTAGGTCCCCACAAGGATAGTAATGCTAGGCCACACACACACACACACACACACACACACACACACACACACACAAACCAGTATGTTTGAACAGCTATCCATGTCTTTTGTCCTGAATGACACCTGACTCCCTGAGAAAGAAATTGTTTACACTCGGTTGTTATTTAACTTCAATGATTGATACAAAAATCATCCAATACAACTACAAAAGGACACAAAAGGACACAAACTATAGGCTGCACAAGGAGAAAAACAAATTTGAGAAAGTTATAAAATGAACTATTTTTTATTATAGTTTTTTACTTTAGCTTCTTTTATTTCGTTTTATACTACATTTGAAATGTATAGATACCTCAAAAAGACCACAACGTTACTCCAATGAATGGCAACTAAAGGAGAAAAACAACCACAGACAAACAATGACTTGAGAAAGTTATAAATATTGGTGGTGGACAACTTTTAATTACAGTTTTTTACTTTTTTGTTTTGTTTTATTCTACATGTTAAATGTATACCTCCAAATGACTTCAAAAACACCATAAATACATTCATAACAACTACAAAGAAACACAAAATGACCCCGAAGTAATAATAGTAATAAACCAGGGATGAAACTATAACTTGAGACAGTTATCAGATCTTGGTGGTGAACAAGTCTGTATTATTGTTTTTTACTTTGGCTTTTATTCCCCTTTGTTTTGAATACATGTACAATGTGTATATACCTTTTGCCAGAATGAGACAGATTGTTTAAAGTTTGAGCTGGAGAGAGAAATGTTGACCTCCTGACGGCGCTGGGTAAAATGTGAAACACACACTTTAACCCTTGGAGTCCGCCAGATGTGTGTGTTTTGTTTCTCAGTGTGGCGGGCAATGACAGAGAGGTTTCTGTTCATATTTATTGACGAGTGTTTGGACCCAGGTCTGTCAGGAGGGACGGATTTCAACGATGGGATGGAGCTGACATTTCTTCTTCTTCATGCTTCAACTTTATTACTATGATGTTTGTGTATATTTTCTGAATCAATTAAAGTATACACAGCTTATTCAGACGTCTTTGTTGTATATTTTGTTGTAAATTGTTTTAATATACCCAAAATTGTATCACTCATACTTGTTATTTAATCCTGAATATATGTATACATCTTTTGGAAGAAGCATAAGCGATATTTAACAAATACAAAATGATCAAATAAAATATAGAAAATGTAAATAATCGAAATAATAATAATATAACAAATATATATATTTAATCTAAATATATTATTGCACACATATGAAGTACACAAACTGTATAATTATTATTTTAATTTGTGCAATGACACTGTGGGATCACCATCACCCTCATGCTGAAAATAGCATACTCGCGCATGCTCAGTGTGCTCAACGATCAAACCCCGCCTTCTTTTGGGTTATTAGAAATACTCGTGTGTGATTGGCCCATCCAGCTCGTCCTCCTGCAATGGGAGGAGCCTCTGTGACCTGCCGTTAATCCGTGAGGGATCGAAGTCAGTGGAGAAAGAGCAACGGAGAGGAATGAAACAAATCACCGATTTAACTCTAAAAAACACGGATTTTAAGACGTTGTTGATTCACAGACAGGATTATTCAAACGAAAACACAAAAGTGGTGTAACACGGGAGAGTTTAGTCAACTTTTTGGGGGGGGTTTTATGGTTGTCGGGGCTCAACATGGATGTCCGGGGAGCAACGGTGGATTTCTGAGGAGGAATTAAGGCCGTTATTTCGGGTCGTAAATTGGAGCTGAGGAGGATTTTAAAGCGGCTTCCTTTCTACCAGGTGAGCCTTTAGCCTGTAAAACACTTTCATAATACTTTACATTAACAAACCCCCCCATTTTACCTCACTAATTAAGAGTATTTTTCTTCAGATCCAGGTTAAAAACTCCAGTTGGTGAAGTTGTTGCGGCTGCAAGCTAAAAGGTAGGTTTTTCCAGCTTCGCTTTTTGTTTGTTTATGTCAGTTCCACAGTTTTTAAACATGGAAAATCCGGTTAAACACAGCATTCATTATTAGCAGTACAATAAAATCACTGTTATGGGAGAAAAGCAGTGGATACATGTTTTAAAGGCTTGTTGTCAGAGGTGGGAGAAGTACTCAGATCTTGCACTTGAGTAAAAGTAGAAGTATCTGAGTGTAGGAAACTCTGTCACAGTAAAAGTTCTGCTTTCAAAATGTTAATCAAGTAAAAGTAGAAAAGTATCAGCATCAAAATATAGTTAAAGTACTCATTCTGCAAATTGGTCCATTACAGAATAATATATAATATATGTTTTGATTATAACTATTGATGCATTGAAGTGTTAAAATCATATTTTTTAAATGTTCTTTTGTATGTAAAATGTGAATCTTTAAAGTAACTATCAAATAAATGTAGGGAATTCAAAGTACAATATACCCATTTATATAGTAGCAGTGAGAAAACACACTCAATTGAATTCCAAGTGCCTCAAATTTGTATTACAGTACTTGAGTAAATGTACTTAGTTACTTTGAATACATCCAAATGCTTGATGTTGTTGCTTTAGCTAGCATGATCATCCAGTCTGGCTTTCACACATAGCATTACTTATTTTGAATTATAAATACACACACACACACACACACACACACACACACACCCATGACCCCTTTCCATCTGTTGCTCTGACCCCCTGCCTCTCATATATTATTTCTGTGTGTGTGTTGACTGACCTTTTAGCCTTTTAAATTATACACACAGATGTCCCTTTTGCTCCTGCACAGCATCATTTCAGTGTGTGTGTGTGTGTGTGTGTGTGTGTGTGTGTGTGTGTGTGTGTGTGTGTGTGTGTGTGTGTGTGTGTGTGTGTGTGTGTGTGTGTGTGTGTGTGTGTGTGTGTGTGTGTGTGGTGTGTGTGTGTGTGTGTGTGTGTGTGTGTGTGTGTGTGTGTGTGTGTGTGTGTGTGTGTGTGTGTGTGTGTGTGTGTGTGGTGTGTGTGTGTGTGTGTGTGTGTGTGTGTGTGTGTGTGTGTGTGTGTGTGTGTGTGTGTGTGTGTGTGTGTGTGTGTGTGTGTGTGTGTGTGTGTGTGTGCTGATGCCTTCACTTCTCCTTGTTGACATGTGGATATGCTGATCCGTGGCAAACCAATACAAATGACCTGCCGTCTCACACGCACACATAGGTTATACACACACACACACACACAGGTTAGACGCACACACACACACAGGTTAGACGCACACACACACACACAGCGAGACCATAACTCCTCTCAGCCTCACATTTAAAAGCATGAAAGCAGCCTAATTCATTTAATCGAAACCCCAAAGTCACTTTTCACTTAGTTTTTAATGTAATTAGTGTGTGTGTGTGTGTGTGTGTGTGTGTGTGTGTGTGTGTGTGTGTGTGTGTGTGTGTGTGTGTGTGTGTGTGTGTGTGTGTGTGTGTGTGTGTGTGTGTGTGTGTGTGTGTGTGTGTGTGTGTGTGTGTTCCTCATTGTCCTTGCTGTTTGTTTAGTGTGCGATGTCACTGGTGTTTGCCACACTCTGGCAGATGAGACACGAAGGGTCACACTGTCCCTCTTTTGTCATTTAGCGATCATTTTGAGCATTAACGCCAACTCTTTATTGTTCGTTTTCTCTCTCAGTCTGTTTGAAATGATGTGTGGGTGTATTTGCGTCAGCTCCCACTTCACTTTCATAACAACAATCTCCCCAAAGCTCAGTGTGTCAGCTGTGTGTCACTGTAAAGGAAACAAATGCACCGTGAACATGACTGTCCGTCACCTTGGAAACGGCTGCTTACGTAAACGTGTCTTCTGGCCACTTCGAGTCCCGTCCTCCTCAGGCGCTGGGGGCGGACGCTGCAGCTGAATATATGACGTTTTTTTGGTCAATCTGCACCTAAACCTGGTCAGGCTGCAGGCTGCACACCCTGTCTTTACTCACTCGTCAGATAAGGAAAGATATGTGTGGAAAACATGTTCTTGGTGCTGTTTGAAACATGTTTAGGCCCATTCTGTTATTTGAGCGTTATTTCTTAACAGACCATATTGTTCATTCTTTTTTAATATATGCACAAAAATTTGATTGCAGAAACAATTTAGCGTTTGATTACATTAAAGGTTTTTTAGATCTGGGATTTAAAATAGCTTTTTCAAACGGTGACATCTCATTTAGCCCCAATGTGTAATCATCATACAAGCAGGAATACACTATACACTACTAGTTGCTTTCTGAGGCATCAATTTCATTCTCAAAGTCGGACAATTTTGGTAGAGAAATACCTTAAACTGTCATCAGAATTGGCCATTATGATATAATCATTGCTGCTCTAACCCCACTGTTTAAATATCGTACTGTAAGAATCAACAATGCCTTTAAAGTACCTGAATGCCTTGCAGCTAATGACATGTTGTCTTCTGTTAACCTGAGTGGAATCCAGCTCACACTCTCCGCCCTGAAACCATGACTCCACAGCGGAGAGTCGATGTTTGGGCACGTTATCTGGCAGCGCTCTGGATGTAGGAACATTCAACACTCTGTTTACTCTACATACAGTCCACCCATTGTACAGATGAGACACACACACACACACACACACACCTTGACTCCTGTTGAGATGAGATTCCACCTTATATTGATCAGTGTGTGCGATCGATACTCCATGTTGAGGATTGATGGTGGATTTCATACTTTCTGAATCAACAGTCAACTTTATTGTCAATCTTTCAGTTTGTGTGTACAGACAGAGATTGAAATACCGTTTCCCACAATCCCAAATACAAATATATATAAACATATGTATATCCTATATATAAGTAAGTCAAATGTATTTATGAAGCGCTTTTCACAGACGGTCACAAAGTGCTTGACAAAACATTAAAACATCATAAAAGAGTAAATGACCACACAAGCCACGTGTTAAGAAGTGCTAAAAACCCAATACACAGTAAAGACACAATAAAAACATGGATAAAATAAAAGCACACAGGTTGATACACACAATCAACAGACACATGTACACATATGCACACATTAAGACGTAAATAAAAGCACAACAATCAAGATATACAAAAAAACAGTCACTTCAATGACTTTGAATTGTGTCCCTGTTTGAGTGTTTCTCCTCTCTGCGTCCTCCAGATGTTGAACCTGTGGAGGCGGGACGTCCCCCTCTCAGAGCGTTTGGGGGAGGACTCTCCTCTGGCCGCCGCCGCCCCCCTCCTCCCCCCAACAGCAGCCCCCACGGGCCCCAACATCTCATGGCTGCCCGAGGCCCCGCTGCTGACCCTGGATCAGCCCACCTTCCTCATGACGCCCGCTGCTCAGGCGGTGTCCGGCTTCTTCGTCTGGACCGCGCTCATCCTCACCTGTCACCAGGTAACGCCCTCCAGACAACATTCATCTGTTTGCAGCTTACACAGTATTCTTTATCTAATATATCATATGCACTGCTTCTATTCTGTGTGTGTGTGTGTGTGTGTGTGTGTGTGTGTGTGTGTGTGTGTGTGTGTGTGTGTGTGTGTGTGTGTGTGTGTGTGTGTGTGTGTGTGTGGTGTGTGTGTGTGTGTGTGTGTGTGTGTGTGTGTGTGTGTGTGTGTGTGTGTGTGTGTGTGTGTGTGTGTGTGTGTGTGTGTGTGTGTGTGTGTGTGTGTGTGTGTGTGTGTTGTGTGTGTGTGTGTGTGTGTGTGTGTGTGTGTGTGTGTGTGTGTGTGTGTGTGTGTGTGTGTGTGTGTGTGTGTGTGTGTGTGTGTGTGTGTGTGTGTGTGTGTGTGTGTGTGTGTGTGTGTGTGTGTGTGTGTGTGTGTGTGTGTGTGTGTGTGTGTGTGTGTGTGTGCGCGCACACATATGATGGGATCCTGCAGACACACACATCTGCAAGGGCAGGGGTTGCTTGGCAACATCCCTCGGCAGGTGTTTGTGATCCAGAGGAGGATGTGCACAAACACACACAATGTGAAACCTGCAGCATGAATGAAAACAACAAACAGCTGAGTGGAGGCTGGTAATGTGTTGATAGTTCAGGTGAACTCAGATTGATTCAAGGCTTTCATTGTCATGTGTGCATCGCTGCAGCGTAGATATGACAATGAACATCTTCGGTCACAGGCTCCTCCAACTGTGCAACTCAGTACAACTGATCAAATAGTCTATATACAAGTCATTTGATATAAAACTAAGACTTAGATTATGGCCTCACTGGTGTGGGAAACTCTTAGAAATTCCTCATCAAATTCTAATGTGGTCTATTAAATGTTTTAAAAGCGTTAGCACTTTTACAACACCAGATGTATTATTATTATTATGAAATGACATGAAGCTGTCCTTATTGTGCAAACAGTACATGTTCTTGTTTAAAGTCTTCAGTTGCAGCCTCTCTTGAAGACTCTGAGTCTTATCTCATACATAAGTGTTAAACCCTCTGACGCAGGCTTACAGTCTGCAGCCATAGACAGAACAGGGCTGTTCTTTCTGCTGCCACAAAGCTGTGGAATCATTTCACTCTAATCTCCACCTTTAACTCAATACTTTCTTATCATTAACTAGGGATGCACGATATTGGTTTTTTGAAACCGATACCGATAACTTCCTGCTTCTCAAGACCGATACCGATAATAATATAATATATATTAAATGTACCTGTAGTTTTTGCACACCTGGTGGTAAAAGAAAGAGTAGTAGTGAGCAAATGACATGAGCATTACTACTATGAACAAAACAAAGCCAAGAACAGTTTGGACTCTTCAAAGTGACCATATTTATTTTCCCAAATAAAGTTCTTGCCTTTTTCAAAAGCCTCGTCGATCGGTAAAAACCCCGGTGGCTTTGCAGCTGGCTTTGGATTCGCCGCTAGTTTAGCAGCGCAGACGTCTTCGTACGCTTTTAACACACCATCGTAGCGATGGCGATGTTTCAGGTGACTAATCAGGTTGGAAGTATTATAGCTCGTTGCCTTTTTCCTCCTCGTGGAACTTCTGCATTTGTTAATACAAATAGCAAGCGAACTATCTAACTCTGAAACTTTGAAATAGTCCCATACTACCGGCGACATGTTTGTTTACTGTCCTGGCTTCACGGCCGCTCACCATTTACGTCACAGCCAGGCATGAGTTAGGGAGCGCTGGATTTGTGAAGAACTCCCCTCTTCCTAAACCACTAATACCACAGTACTGGCAAAACGGGAGGAGCCGAGTGAAAAACAAGCGCCCCTCATCCCAATCCCACACCGCAGTATTTGTTTCTTACCCAAAAAATATATTGTATATTATCGGGGCTATTAATACTGGTATCGGGTTTATCGGGATGACGTCATAATTCCTAATATCGGACCGATAATTATCGTGCACCACTAATTTTACGCTCCTTAACTTGAAGCCTTAAACTGTTCTGCTGATATGTGAGGTGTCTCTGCTTTCGGTTCCAGATCTACATGCATCTACGTTTCTACAGCTCTCCGAGGGAGCAGCGCCACATCGTGCGGATCCTCTTCATCGTTCCTATCTACGCCTTCGACTCTTGGCTCAGCCTCCTCTTCTTCACCAACGATCAGTACTACGTGTACTTCGACACCGTCAGGGACTGCTATGAAGGTAGGGACTTCGTTTCATCTTCTTCCTCAGTCTGTGATGATGTAGTTTCGTTAATGCCACACATTTACAAGACAACCTGAGCCGGGTACAATAGACGCTTTCACACCGGAGTACTTTTCCCGTTTAGTTCGATAGTTCCTGGGATGTTGCGTTCACACCAAAAAGAGAACTTAGTTCATGAGAACTTTCTCCCCTTTTCAGTCCCTGCTAGAGAGGTGGGACTTTGCTGCGGAGAAACAAGTACCAATTTCTGATTGGCTGGGTGAATTGCAAACCACGCCCCGTAAAACTCGGAAAGGTTTTGTGAAGCCGCCATTGTATTTGCTGGCATTAGCATTATTAGCATTAGCATTAGCCCCGCGCACAAACGCAGAGAGAATAACTTATGGCAACACAAAAGAAAACATGGGAGCGGTGGAGATGAGGAGGTGTCGGCGTTCTGGCGATTTACTCGGAAGGCTTCAGTAGAAGCTGCTGGGACTCCCAGCAGCTTCTACTGAAGCCTTCCCTAACTCCGGGGACTTCGGGTGGCAGTATACGCCGTGAAGTTGTTTGCGGCCTGCCAGTAAACCCAAAGCAGAAGAAGAAGAAGTGACGTCAGCGGCTTCATTTACGTAATCCACCCCCAGGGACTTATCCCGGTGTGAACGCGATCAGCTCTTAGTTCCATGGGGGAACTAAGTGCTGGGAACTAAGTGCTGGGAACTAAGTGCTGCAAAGTACTTGGTGTGAACGCGGCTATTGATGAATTGCTCTGACTTTAGAGTACTTCAATTGTAATGTTTGCAACCAAAATACCCAGAGCCACTCTACTTTAGGTATGGTTAAAAATGGTATTAACATTGCCACATTTGGTAGCTATTATTTCCGCCGTAGTGTCTTTTTGTTCTTGAATAAAGACACATTTAGATACTAGCGATAGATAGAGTTACTGATTCCTTTCCACCTCATTGTGCGACTTTTAAGTGATTACATTGTGCGGATGCATTCAACCGCTTGATGGTGAATCTTGTTTATTTTAGTTTTTGTGATGGTCTGGAAGTCTCTTGTGAAATGTCTTGAAGTTTTTCTTGATCCGTACACATATTTTTTGTATTATTTATATGTATTTGGACACATACTGCCATTCATCTCCACAGCGGAAGCCTCCATGTACATGCCTCAGAAATGTGGTTTTGATATTATTTTCGAGTTCAGTTTGTAAGGGATGAAACCATGGATCAAATGGCTTTACTTCTCTCTGTATAAACATGGACTGAGTTTATTCGAGTTTGATCAGAACTCTTTGTAATGAGGCTTTTTCAGAGCGCATGGGGGACACAAACAAAACAAAGACTGCCTGATGTTTTTAATCTCTGACGTCTCTTTAATGTTTGACTTGGCAGTGAAGTCAACTGCTCGTAATTTTCCAGAGTCAGTTGTGACATTGAGGATAAAAATAGTCACTTTGCCCAGGCGTCACTTCCTGTGTTGACCAATAAATGATGTCCGACTGTTTGAATATGGAGTGGAGGCGTTTTCTGCTTCTGGGAGGAAGCTTCGTCAGTATCGTGGTCGTCATGTCTCTTCCTCCTCCTTATCTCCTCCTCCCTCCCACGACTTCTCCTCTTGGTATTATTCCCCTCCTCTCTTCGCCCTGTTTGCCTTCCCATTACCCACAATGCTGCTGAGCCTAAGCTAAGATGACCGACCTGTTGCATGGCAACCGAGCTCGCAAAATCTTCCTCATCAACCAGCAAGATAATGATAATGAGTTCCTGTCTCTCACCAAACTCGCTGTAAAACTTCCCGTTGCCTTTGTATCCGGGCCTACCGTATCACCGTGGCAACTAGCACTGTGCTGACTTGTCCTTGGAGAGCATTGATGAGTGTGATGTAAACAGCTGACACACACACAGTTTCTCACACACACTGTACGCTCGGCTGTGTGTTTAAATCACAGTGACTCTGGCATGTGTGGCATCCTTTTACCTGAGTGTTGACTGACAGGCGCCTGACGTCAGACAATACACCCAGAAAATTACAATAGTTTTATTTGTAGCACTTAAAAAAGCTTACACACAAAGTACATTGCAGGTTAAAAGACTTGCAGAACAACGGATTTAACAAATAATAATAAATAACAAACAAAAATTTGCAACATGACAACAAAGGGGTTTAGTACATAAAAAAGTGTATATATATATATATGAGCTTCAACGATGATACAAATACAAGCATTATTTAATCTTTTTTAAATAAAATGCAGATAATACAAACTATATTTCTCAATAGGGGACATTTGAATATAGCTTAGTTTTTTAATGTTAGAAGCATTTTCCCACAATGACCAAAATGTAATCATTTTCAGGATTTTAACCCTTTAAATGCCATTTTGAATACATGAAACCGCTGTTGTTTTTCATGATGAAAACTGAGAAAATGAGTTATTTTCCAAAAAATACATATCTGAGGACTGGCTCTTTTTTTATAACAGTCTTGAATATGTCAAAGATTAGCAACACAATTGATTTTTTTTTGCATTATTAGTTTTTGGACAAAATCAGATTGAACAAAAAAGTCCACTTCCAAAAACTGCTCTAAAATGACAACAGATTAATATTTTTTGAAACTTTTTGGGGTTAAATCTTTCAATCAACTTCAGTCCTGATCAAAAATACCAAATGTTAAATTATGTTCAGGATTTTAACCCTTGAACTTCCAGTTTGAAAACATGAATTTGCGTTTTCTATGAAAAACATGCCCAAAAAGGCAGTTATTTTCCATATAATAAATGTTTGGGGGGTCGGCTTTTTTTTTGATCACAGTCTTGGATATGTCAAAGATTAGCAACAACATTTATTTTGGTGGATTATTAGTTTTTGCACAGAATCAGATTAAACAAAAAACTCATTTAAAAATGGCATTTAAAGGGTTAAAATCCCTATTAGTGTGGAAGTTGCTTTAAAGATTGAACCCAAAAAAGTTGTGAAAAAAACCTTTTAATATAATGTTTTTATCAAAGTCTTTTGCAGTGGACATTTTTGTCTCGAATGACTGATTTGCGTAGTCGATTTGTTACACAGTGAATTAAAGACCGATTTGAGAAATTGAAATTGGAATTCTAAAATAGATCGAGAAAATAGCCTTGTTACAAAAAATCAGGCCGTTTGCAGCAACACAACCAAAGTTATTGCAAAATGAAAAGTGAAAAATGACCCATATGGACAAAAACGTCCACAGTGATACCGGACGGTTAAGGGGCTACATAATGGGTTGATAATGATAATAATAATAATAATAATGTTTATATAGCTCCACAAGCTGCTTAATGTTACTAACTTATTGTTTCGTCAAGACCAAGACATGGAAAACAACAAAATTGATAAGAATCGCCGACTGGGTTGTTGGAAAAAAACTATCTTTATAGAAGATTTTGTCTCAATCGCACTCGACTGCCCATTCATTAGATCATAAAGTGACAAAAAATGAGTCCAAATGTTGCCCTTTTTAAACATGATGTTGTTTTGAGAGGGGCTACTTTGAATACAAAAGTATATAATGTGTGCATAGAGATAATAACAACCCAGCCTGTCTCTCCTTGTTTCTCTGCAGCGTTTGTGATTTATAACTTCCTGAGTCTGTGCTACGAGTACCTGGGAGGAGAGAGCGCCATCATGGCCGAGATCAGAGGGAAACCCATCGAGTGAGTCTCACATTTACTAAAGATAAGGGTTATGTTCCAACAGGCTGATAAACAATGTGTGTTTTCAAGTCAGCATGAAACGAGGGCTTATCCCACCCTACCAGGAAATATCAGAGAGGCCAACTCAATTTTAAACGACAGCTAAAGACACATCTTTTTAGATTAGCTACCCCCCACTTTACATTTTCTTTGTCTTTATTATTTACCTACCTTTATATTGTTTTATTTATTTTATAGGTCTTAATCTTTTGTTTCTGTTGTACCTATATTTTCACTTTGTTTTATATTGTTGACTCAGATGTCTTGTGTCTTATCTGTCAGAGAGAAACCATTATTTATTTAATTTATTATCCTACATTTTACCTCCTTGTGTCTATTAACCTGATCAAATTGTATATTTTCTGCATGTACCTTTTTAAAGTCCTTAAAGGTCCCGTGTCATGGCCATTTCCACTGATCATAATTCCATTGCTGAGGTCTACTAGAATACATTTTAATATATTGTGCAATGTTCCAATCTCACATTGGTTTCTCACAGCATCTCTGTATAGTCTGTGTATTCACTCTCTGTCCTAAACGGCTTGTTGGAGCTCCTGCCCCCCCCCCCCCCCCCCCCTCCCTGTGAGCCCAGTGGCCGTCTGCAAGACAGGGAGACACAGCGAGACCCAGCCCGAAACACACACACCCGCAGCCTGGCTGGGAGTTTGTGTGCTCACTCAGGCTGAGTTCCGCGGTGTCTCGCCGTCTCGCCGACCCCACACCAGTGAGCCAGCTCACAGTGTCCCGCTCCTCGCAGCAGCGAGCCTCGCAACGTCCCGTCGAGTGTGTGTGTGTGAGGAAGTCCGCGGATTGGTCCAACCGTAACGGCTCCGCGGACGTTACGTCACTATACCCAAGAAGTAAACAATGGAAAAAGAGAATTCTCCAACGAGGCGTTCTGGGGCAGCACAGACAGGTCTTCTCTGTGTTAGAGCTTTACTCGCTACAGGGTGTACTTTGAGGGTTTGTGACTCTGCAGACCGTTTACATGCAGAAAAACCTTCATAACACACAAGGGGACGGGTGATAACCAGAAAAGCATGACATGGGACCTTTAATAAATAATCTGAGGGTAATTTCTTGTTGTTTGTTTTTAACTTGTGATGTGTCATTTTGTAAAGCACTTTGAGCTGCATGTGCTGTATGAAAAGTGCTATATAAATAAAGCATTATTATTACATTTGTATTTACATATACAAAGCATTATTGTGCATATCTTTACCACACCTAATTCCCCAGAGATCAGGTGTAATCCAGATGTTGTGCCCCCCCCTCAGGTCCAGCTGTGTGTACGGGACCTGCTGTCTGCGGGGGAAGGCGTACTCCATCGGCTTCCTGCGGTTCTGTAAGCAGGCCACGCTGCAGTTCTGCGTGGTCAAACCCATCATGGCCGCCGTCACCGTGGTGCTGCAGGCCTACGGGAAGTACAAGGACGGGGACTTCAAGTAAGGAAGTGTTCACATCCTTTACGTGAAGTTTCAATTCAACATTCCATACCTTATTGAAGTAAAAGGATGTTGGTGTAGCTTTTCCACTGTCCTGTGTGAGTCACTTATCGCTTAACAGTTACTTCATGATAGTCAGCTGCAAATAGGTTTCTCAATGGATTGTTGTGGTATCAGGTGCACTTAATAACATACTAAAACTACCAAAATCTGACCACTACAAAGGTCTAATTTTCAAGATGGCCGAAAATCCCTTAAAACACCCTAACGCCTTCATAATTTATTCTAAGTACTTTTTTGGGCTAAATTTATGTTTTGGGCGCCTACAAATCCATAGGTCTTGTCCAAATTACAATAATAGGATTACATCATTTTTTAATCCAATATTTTGGTTCGCCAGTTCCTTATAAGGACCTGAGAAAAACACCCCATTTTTCAGCTTTTTACAATCATAGACTGCAGCATTTTATCAGCTGATGCAAGAGGGCTCCACACACATGTTTCCGTTTCTCAGACAAATTCAGAATCAACACATGTGACGATAAGTTGTTTTCAATGGGTGGTTATGGTATGTAATAGATAACTATAAATACAACCCAGTCTCACAGCATTTCGTGTTTAATCTGTTGATTCGTGTTCACCAACACGATTTCCCCCTTTTTTTCGTGTCACACAGAACGATTTTAAAAGCAATGTATTTCTATTGGTAAGATGTTTCGTGCCTGCACCACGTCTTTTTGTCCGGTCGGGTCTTGGAAAACCAGAAGCTGTGTGGTTCATAAAAACATTTTCTTACTCAATATCTTACCCTAAATGATCATTTTACTCATTTTAAATGATGTATAGAGTTTTTTTGCCGTCCGCGAGGAAAATAAATGGCTCAGAGCCTCAGAATACTGAAATCTGTATTTTTTTAATCAGTTTTTCCTTCTAATTTGTTATTATTTACATTGCTTTTAAAATCGTTCTGTGTGACACGAAAAAAAATGAGGAAATCGTGTTGGTGAACACGAATCAATAGATTAATTTCGTGACTATAACACGAAATGCCATGAGACTGTGTTGATAAATAAAGCTGTTAGCCAAAGTTAGTGAAGTAAAAAGTACAATATTTGTCTGATTGCAGTGCGGCCGAAGTATAGAGTTGCATAAAATGGAAATACTTAAGTACAAGTATTTCAAATGTACGTACAAACTGTACACATGAGCCAGGAGTAAAAACATGCAATACAAAGCAGTATTGAAAAACCACCAAATAAAAAAACAACAAGAAAGCAGCAGGAACACGTGGATTACTACTGTCATTTTTCGATTAATTGAAAGCCCCAGGCTGTTTCATTCATTCAGGTTTTTATCTTCACTTACAACAACATCAATCAGCACAAACCTGAAATCCCTCCCCCCTAACTACCGTGTTCCTCTCCTCAGTGTCTCCGGGGGTTACCTGTACGTCACCATCGTGTACAACATCTCCGTCAGCCTGTCTCTGTACGCCCTCTTCCTCTTCTACTTCTCCACCCGCCAGCTGCTCAGCCCCTTCAGCCCCATGCTCAAGTTCCTCATGGTGAAGTCCGTCATCTTCCTCTCCTTCTGGCAGGGTAGGAAACACCGGCAACACATGCTCATGCTCTTTATATAGCACGTAATGTAGTCTGGAACGTCTCCCTTTTATATTTTATCCTTGAGAGTTTTAAACTTAGTGTATTGTTTGTTTTTTTAACAGCATACAGTTATTCTATCAGAGCATGTATCAAAAGTAGGTAAACAAATCTTCACTTTATAGTAAAATAGGTAGAGTAACAAAGTAAATACTGCTTAACCAACCACATTTGTTCATGTTTAGTTATCGATGAGGGTCATGGTCACATAGAGCAGGGGTGTCAAACTCAAATACACAGTGGGCCAAAATTAAAAAATGGGTGCTCGTCGAGGGCCGGACTGGTTCAATGTTTATTGCAGAACTTATTGAAATGAACTTATTGCACATATTAAACCTGGAACTAACAAAGCTTAAATGATTGCCTATAAAAATAACATTAAACATTAAATAATCAGTTGCATTCATTTCTTATGGCTCTATCTGCAGCTTTTCCAGAGTCATTTCTTATGAGTACATTTTCCCACAGGCCAACAACAGCTTCAACAAAACTATTCCCCTCAAAGAGAAAACCAAACATGCCCTGTTGTCGTGAGAGAGAAAGTGCAGAAGGAAGCATCCATTGAACTCAGTGTGCTGCTCTGTGATGCTAGCTCAGATACTTGGCCTCTCATCTTGGGTGCAAGGTCATCAATGTTTGGGGTCAGGCTCTGAGCTGAGGAGACCCTCAGGGTGGAGTGAAGGTGTGCGTGTCATATACCGGCAGGGCCAGATCTAATAGTCATTAGAAATTATCCTGCGGGCCGAAATTAAATCCACCAAGGGCCTGATTTGGCCCCCGGGCCTTGAGTTTGACACATGTGGTTTAGATAAAGATATACATGGCAAAAAAGCACTTTGTTTAAATATAACTTTAGTTTTTTCTTATTCTAATAACAAAACCACATGAACTGCAGATAATCGGTTTAAGAAACACCTTTCTATATAACCTCTTATGGTTACATTTGTTATCTTGCAAATATTTGTTATTTTTTGTTCTATTTTTTCAATATATTGTATGTTTCATAGCCAAAACGAGGCTGTATCTATAGTGCATTATGTCCACAAAGCCTAGTTTAAATGATTGCATTTTGTATCTAAAGTTACACATAATCACCTGGGAAACTACGTCTTAAATACAAGAGACGCTTTCCAATGTAATCTCTAGTTTAAATCCTACATAGATATTGCTCAACATCAAACCTTGGAGCTCACTTGAGCTGCAGCTTCATGTTCACTCTGCACGTCTTATCTCTTGTGGTCAGGCATGCTGCTGGCCATCCTGGAGAAGTGCGGCGCCATCCCTCAGATAAACTCTGAGGAGGTTTCTGTCGGCGAGGGCACGGTCGCCGCCGGATACCAGAACTTTATCATTTGCGTGGAGATGTTTTTCGCCTCTCTGGCTCTGCGCCACGCTTTCACTTACAAGGTCTACATGGAGAAGAGCCTGGATTCACAAGGTGAGGAACCAAGAGGGAGGGGTTTCAATACACCATGAAATACATTGTAAAATAGCCTTTTGTCTCCACTTTATTTTTATGCTTTTCCATCTTTTTCAATGCGTATTCGATACTCCATCTCCTGTCTTTCAAACTCAATTCTTCCACCTTTTTATTTTGTATCTGTTCAATCTGTTGCTTTTCAATGTTTCTGCGTACGTCTGCACCTCCATCTTTATCTGCCTCTTCTCTTCTCTGCTGTGCCGTAAAGGATCTGTTGCTACATGTGGAGACTTTGGTAGGTCTAACCCTGATGATGTTACTCAACAAGCCCCTTTTTTCCTTACCCCTTGTGTTGTGTTCGAAAGCTATTCCCGTTCATGGTGTTCGCGGGTACATTTTGACCCATGATTTATCTCAGTCCAAAACACACAAAAAATCATCATCCAATTTTGTTTTAACTCCATCATAACTAACTTATAATGCATTCATAACCGTACAATCCTGTTTAATGTAATGTTGGCCCAAAACACATTACACCGCATATTGCACACGTGCATGTGTGTGTTCAGGTTCAAGTGTTACGGCCCACCACACGGCGGCGTGCGTTGACGCTTCAACGCTTCTGCCCATTCACTTTGAATGGGGTGACGTCACGTGTAGGGGCCGTTAGTGTACATATTCTTTGAGAAAGGTGGCGTTCCCGTGGGGGGAGGGGGAGGGGGCAGAGGGAGAGACCAGGTGCATGTTGCGAACAATGATTGTTACAGTGTATGAAGGGGGTGGGGGAGGGGTGTCTAAAGTCAAAGATGAATCTTGATTGGGCCAAATTATACACTTTCAGACTTGGCTCAAATTGTCAGAATCTGTTCTGTAGTGTTTATATATCTGTGGTGGAGGATATCATGAAGCCTGGTTCAGATAGAAAAAACTAGAGCGTAGTTAATATATAGTTTTAACTTGAAACGGGTCACGGGAGACCCGAACACAACATAAGGGTTAAGTGCGGCTAGCTAGTTGTGTCCTTCCCAAAGGTATAACGTAGTGTGAATTTGACTTGGTTTTTGTACCTGCAAATGTTCACTTTGTCTCTTTCTGCTTGTCTTTTTTCTGATGATGTTAACTACAGTGTTTAGCTAGTTGTGTCCCTCCCAGATGTATGAAGTTAGTTTCTGTTTTACCCTGTACTTTTAATCCAAGGTTTGAATGTGATTTGGTTGTTCACCCGTTACTGTCTTTTAATTGTGTCTCTTTATATTGCCCTCTTCGTAAATCGTACCATCCTCTTTTACTTTGTTTTTTGTTTACTATATATCAATCGTCCTAATGGATGGTTCCTTTTTTTAGCCTGGGTTCGTTTTCCTTTGTAAAGTTTGTTTTGAGATCGTCATGGGCTGTTGTTATCAAGCTCCTTTGGCTGGAAATAGAGAATATATTAAAGTTTTTATAAGAGTTTTGAGCTTTTAATCGTGTAAAACTAATATTTAGGCTCTCATTTGCAACATGTTGGTGAAACAGAAGCTAGCAGTCTTGTGGTACACTCATAATAAAGCGGTACGCAGTTAGGAAGAACATGTGTAGATACATGGGGTGTTTCTCAATGTCGAGTATGCTTGCTTGGTAGCACATGTCTTCCGAGTCACTTGCTTCAGAAGCGAGGCAAGAATACTTCCTGGCATTCGGAAAACAAAGGGTGGAACAGGCGAGCAGGTGTGCGTCGTATGAGAGGCCCCGTCTTACATTTTCCGCCACAGATTTGGGGAAATTGGTCCGTGCGCAAAGCATTGTGGGGATTTTAAGACCGCGGATTCTACACATGTGCAGCCTCGACATTTCTCCAAACGAAGTACGCAGGGCTCGGTAGATTTCCAAGTATGCTGGACATTGGAACAGTCCTTCGGCGGGACTCGATGGCGTAGTATGCTTGAAATAGTGGCTCTGGAGCAGCTTTACTCGACATTGAGAAACACCCATTATAATCTAACTGAGGAGACCCTGGTGCATTGTGGGATTTAAAGGGAAACCAATGTGAGTCATGAGTTGCTGTCAGCTCTATGAAACGTTGTTGTTTTTGTTATAAATGGAGCAGATTATAGTTACAGGATTTTTTTAGTTGACTATATAGATCCTTTCACGATACTGTAAAATAAACAAGTTTCCAATTCCGTTCCCTCTCTCTAAATCACACTCACCCCTCCTTTTGTCTTGCTGTCCTCTAAATCTCTGATGCCCTTCTCTATTATCCTTTCTCTCCTCCTTCTTCTAAATCACCTCCTCTCTCCTCTGACTCTTTTCTCCCCTTCCCCTTGTCTCGCCTCTCCACTTGATTTTCTCTCACAGCTCCATAAATCCACGCTGCCTTATTGTTGTCCCCCCTTTGACTCTCTTTCCCTTCTCCAAATCCCTCCTGAATCATTTTAAACCCTTTATTTCTTCTCCCAGCTGTCCTTTTTCCACCCGATTCCTCTCCCTTTTAAGGGAAAGTCAGATTGTATGAATAGAATGGGAGGGATGAAACCCTCTTTAATGGTCACGCAGGCAGAGCACACACAGTGACATGTGTTCCCTGCTTTTAACCCATCCTAGTCTAGTACTAGGAGCAGTGGGCAGCTATTGTACAGCGCCCGGGGAGCAATGGGAGTGGGGGGGAAGGGGGGTGTCCGGTGCCTTGCTCAAGGGCACCACGGCAGGGCAGGAGGTGAACTGGGACCTCTCCAAGTAGCAGTTCACACTCCATATTTAGGTCTGTTCGGGGACTTGAACCGGCGACCCTACAGCTCCCAGTCCAAGCCCCTACTGACTGAGCCACTGTATGAGGTCCATAGTCGGTGTATTACCTACAGTAGATGTTGGGGTAACAGAAAGGAAGACTAGCAAGGAAGCTGAGCAATGTTCTGCTTAATACATCCATCCATCTTCTCCCGCTTATCCGTGGTCGGGTCGCGGAGGTAGCAGTTCCAGCAGAGAGCCCCAAACGTTCCTTTCCCTGGCGACATCAACCAGCTCTGACTGGGGGGATCCCAAGGCGCTCCCAGGCCAGCGAAGAGATATAATCCCTCCACCTGGTCCTAGGTCTACCCCTTGGTCTCTTCCCAGCTGGACGTGCCTGGAACACCTCCCGAGGGAGGCGCCCAGGTGGCATCCTTACTAGGTGCCCGAACCACCTCAACTGGCTCCTTTCAACGCGAAGGAGGAGCGGCTCAACTCCGAGTCCCTCCCGGATGACCGAACTTCTCACCTTATCCCTAAGGGAGACACCAGCCACCCTGCGGAGAAAACCCATCTCGGCCGCTTGTATCCGCGATCTCGTTCTTTCGGTCATGACCCATCCTTCATGACCATAGGTGAGGGTAGGAACGAAAATGGCCCGGTAGAGAGAGAGCTTTGCCTTCTGGCTCAGCTCCCTTTTCGTCACAACGGTGCGGTAAAGCGACTGCAGTACTGCTCCGATTCTCCGGCCCATCTCACGCTCCATTGTTCCCTCACTCGAGAACAAGACCCCGAGATACTTCAACTCCTTCACTTGGGGTAAGGACTCATGCCCTACTTGGAGTGGACCCTTTTACTCTCTTTCCCTTCTCCAAATCCCTCCTGAATCCTTTTAAACCCTTTATTTCCTCTCCCAGCTGTCCTTTCCCACCCGTTTCCTCTCCCTTTTTTAGGGAAAGTCAGATTGTATGAGGTCCATAGTCTGTGTATTACTACAGAAGATGTTGGGGTAACAGAAAAGAGTACTAGCAAGGAAGCTAAGCAATGTTCTGCTTTATACAGTGGCAGCTAAACACATTTAAGACACCTAAAGTGAAAAAGTGTAGGCTATAGTTTAAATATGTATACTGCTTTACCTTTGGGAACAGGGGACTGATGGGTAATCCATGTTCTCTTCAAAGTCAACAAACTTCTTTCAAAAAAAGTGATTTGACCTCGTAGAACACAGACATTTCTGATCTACTGCTGCCTCGATGGTGATTTCAAGTTTTGATCTTTAAAGAGGTGGAAAGATTTGTGTGGATAACTTAAGTCACACAACAATACCAACAATACCAAAACAAACAAACAAACAAAATCTCTAAATCTCTCTTTTCCCCCCAGGCCGCCGCGCCCCCATGAAGAGCATCTCCAGCAGCCTGAAGGAGACCATGAGCCCCGGGGACATGGTCCAGGACGCCATCCACAACTTCTCCCCCGCCTACCAGCAGTACACCCAGCAGGCCACGCTGGAGCAGGGCGTCCCCCCTCCCCTCCCCCGAAACATCAGCTCCATTAGTGGGCAAGGGGGAGACACGGAGAAGACCCTGCTGCTCAGCTCCGACGATGAGTTTTAGAGCAGGGAAACCCCCTCGGACTGTTTTAACAGCGGGTCATCCTCCTGTGTGAATGGTTAGAGAGGTGCGTTTGATTTCCTCACCATGGATGTGACGCCTGCACACACATCTCCCCAGCCAGTCTTAGTTAGTGGGAAGCTGATTTGGCAATAAAAAAGTTCCAGACAAACTGAAAAAGTGTTGTGTTTGGTTGTGAGTCCAAACTCGTACAAACGTGACTTTTTAAACGCACGTTCTCTGGCTCCGATAGAAGCTTAATTTCACATTTCAGCGCGGCCATGTGGCATTTCAATCGTCCTAATGGATGTTTTCCTTTGTAAACTTTGCTTTGAGATCGTCATGGGCTGTTGTTATCAAGCTCCTTTGGCTGGAAATAGAGAATATATTAAAGTTTTTATAAGAGTTTTGAGCTTTTAATTGTGTAAAACTAATATTTAGGCACTCATTTGCAAAATGTTGGTGAAACAGAAGCTAGCAGTCTTGTGGTACACTCATAATAAAGCGGTACACAGTCATGAAGAACATGTGTAGATAGATCATAGACTGTATATGAGATGGATACATTATAATCTAACTGAGGAGACCCTGGTGCATTGTGGGATTTAAAGGGCTGTATGTGTGAGTGGATTTAAAGGGAAACCAATTTGAGTCATGAGTCACTGTCAGCTGTATGAAACGTTGTTGTTTTTGTTATAAATGGAGCAGATCAGGATTACACTGTTGATGTTTTTCAGGCGTGTTTGAAATTGAGGATTAAAAGCCTCTGCAGGACACAATGTAGGTTAACAGGAATGTAGGTTACAGCTCTAACATAGAAACTATAAAAAAAATCAAATGTTTAAGGCAGACGTATGAAGTCAAACTGGAATTTTAGCATTCCCCATTTTAAGTTAATTAAAAGAAACATATTTATCACAAACATACCTACTGTAGTCACTTATTTTTCAGCTTGTCAGGTTTGAGTTTTAAAGTTGCTTTTAATGACCTAAAGTCTTTTGCCTAACTACTTTTTACTGTTTAATCCTGAGCTGTGGTACATTTTAACGCTAACACCCCCCTGTATATTAGCTCAGTAACAAGGGAACATATATTATAAACGCATTATCAATATGTTCAGTCAATCGTCTCACAGTTAAAAATAACTTGAATTACTCTTGGAAGCTGTTCATTCCGTCCAGGCACGTGTTTTGTTTGATTCAACCGCCGCCGATTGAACATAATTGAAGTTCTTGAGTCCTCTGAATGAGTCACATCGAATTCTGCAGACGTGTTTACTGTAACTGCTGCTGTAGCACTGTGTGAACACCAGGGGGCCGTGTAGACAACACACACACACACACACACACACACACTGTTATCTAGCAGCAGACAGGCAGTTATCACACACTTTAAGCTGGTACACATGTAACTGCTTTGTCTGCCACTTTTTTTTAATCTTTATCAACAAAGCACCCTCACACACATCGCTGTTTTAAAAAAAAAATGTATGCTCCTGTCTGACCTGATAATATGCTTTTAAACGGCACCTCAGCTGTGTGTTATTTTTAGACATTGCTGAGTGTTGTCTGGTTAATTGGGCCGCTGCGTTTTGACGTGAATACAAAGTGGATTATTATGTTTGCCTGCAGACACACGTGACCTCGTGTTCATCTCTAACAGCACGGGTCACTTCATGTGTTTCATTACAATACGCTGTCCTTTTTTGGTCCCTATAAATGCATTTCAATTCTGAACCACTGAATGTTTTTCGTGCATCGATTGGTTATATTTGGACATTTTGACCCTACAATAGGCTTGTCACAATTTTAACTACACGATTATTACAGCTGACAGAATTCACAGTAATAGAGCGAAGTAAAAATAATGCTATCGGTCAAAGTCCTCTTACATTTTTACTTTTAATTGTGTGTTTTTTGTCTTTTGATGTGTTAAGTGAGAACAAAGCAAATTATTGAAGAAACTGAAATTATTAGGAGTTATATTATTTTATTGTGCATTATTGTAGGTATAATGTACGGCAAGCCGGTCTTAAATCACACTAAAGGGGTTTATTTTGCAATAACGACCCACTTGCTGTACTTAACTACGCTAATTACACGCCTACTGACTAAAGAGATTACTTTTATTGATTTAAAATTGATTTATTTGTTTTTGTTTCAACTAAAACTCACTGATTGTTTTCCCAGATCGATCTGCGTCCATAGCAACAGTAGAATGCCGTTATCGACCAATCAGAATCAAGTATTCAACAAAGCGACATAATATCTAGATTTCATTTTTTGAACGTTACGTTATTATTAATACTGGTTTATCGCATTAAACCTATTCAAACTGAGTAAGATATCGTATCCGGGAGGAACTAAAGCTACTAAAGACGGGTTTTCTTGCCGAATATAAGAGACTTTTACAATTTAAAATCGACGTATGTTAGTCGTACCACACTTTTAAATGCCATGTTGGTCTACAGGAGGAGGGATGTGTGTTCAGTCATATATGCTGTTTAGGTTATGCACAGGAGAAAAAAAAGACTTAGTTTTGTATTTACTTCATAATTGTCTTTCTTTTTATTATTTCAACGACTGTTTTTGGTTTCTAGTTCTTTGTATATGATAAAGCAGCTCATGATGCTATTATGTCCTTCAAATGGAGAAATATCTGAAGTTATAATAAAGAATATTTAGTCTATGTTTACCGCTTGTTCATTTTTCCTCTTGGTTATAGTATTTATATCGAGAAATCCACGGTCATTTAACTTTGTTATACTTGTCTCACTTTAAAATGTTTTACTCAGATGTCATAGACCAGGGGGGTCAAACTCAAATACACAGCCAAAATGAAAAAATCGGTACCAGTCGAGGGCCGGACTGGTTCCATGTTTATTGCAAAACGTATTGAAATGAACTTATTGCACACAGGGCCGTCCCTCCCTACAGGCCGATCATGCAGACTGCGTGGGGCCTCACCTTGCGGAGGGTGCCTCAACTGAGTCGAAAATGGGGCGCACATATGCGCTTATGCGGTGCAATTAGTGTGGCGTGGCACGGTTTCGCCGCCGCTCGCGAAACAGAGGGCCTCATCATATAACTTTGCGTGGGGCCTCATGTTGGCCAGGGACGGCCCTGATTGCACATATTAAACCTGGAACTAACACAGCTTAAATGATTGCCTATAAAAACAACATTAAAGGGGACCTATCATGCAAAATGCTCTTTTGTACGTCTTTTATACATGAATATGTGTCCCCGGTGTGTCAGGGAACTCACCCAGTGTCAGAAAACACAACCCTCTCTCTTTTCCTCCATACCCATATCTCTAGAAACGGGGCTGCAATGGAGCTGATACAGACTGATACAGATTTGAAAATTCTCTGATGTCAGAAACGGGGAGCTCCGCCTTTATGGGCAACTCTCCACCTATCAGGGGAATGAGAGGTTGCGTGGCATGGTAACAGCATGGTAACATGACGCTCGTGCCTCGCCCCCCTCCTTTGCAGGGGGGCGTGGTCAGCTGCAGCTAATTTGCCACAGAATCAGCCCTTGCAAAAACAGGGCTGGAATAGAGCAAATAGAGCGAAATTAGGCATGGCTAAAATGCATGATCTGTTTGGTATTTTGAAAAGAAAACTTCACAGACATGTTTTATATAGGTATGGCCCTACAATATGATTCAAATATAGCATGATAGGTCCACTTTAAATAATCAGTTGCATTCATTTCTTATGGCTCTATCTGCAGCTTTTCATTTCTTATGAGTACATTTCTCCACAGGCCAACAACAGCTTCAACAAAACTATTCCCTCAAAGAGAAAACCAAACATGCCCTGTTGTCCTGAGAGAAATTGCAGAAGGAAGCATCCATTAAACTCTGTGTGCTGCTCTGTGATGCTAGCTCAGATACTTAGCATCTCATCTTGGGTGCAAGGTCATCAATGTTTGGGCTCAGGCTCTGAGCTGAGGAGACCCTCAGGATGGAGTGAAGGTGTGCGTGCAATATACCGGCAGGCCAGATCTAATAATGATTAGAAGTTAAATCCACCTGATTTGGCCCCCGGGCCTTGAGTTTGACACATGACATAAACCCGTAAGTATTAAGATTTATTTAGATTAATATTTCCCTGTCACTAAGTTCAAACTTTTATCCAACAGTTTTTATTATAATTTCCAAACATTGATGTATTTTTTCACAAATGTTAACCCTTTAAATGCCAGTTTAAGTGTTTTTATGGATAAAAAACAACATTATTTCCTGTTTATTAAACGCTATGGGGTGTTTTTGCAGGCTTGGATATGTTTATAATTGGCAGCAAAATTCCCATTATCAATTTTTTTGTTTTGTTTAGGAATCCAGGAATATAGCACGAAATTATCCTCTCGTGCAAATGTGAAAAATGTCTTTATTGGGAGGAAAAATATAAAAAATTACAATTTTAAAGCCTGATATATGAATAACAATAATAGCTGGGGGATAGAAAAAATGTGGTTTATTGTCTTCAAAGGATCCAAGTGTCTGTATCTGGCCACACAGTTTATTATATGGAGCTTAACATTTATTAAAAAAAAGACAGATTAAAAAATATTGAAATGCCAAAGATCTCCCTAGTGAGGCTAAACGTTTATTTATATTTGAAATATTAGCACTTTTTACCATAACTTGTGCGACACAACCACAAACACCATGTTATGTACAATATGTACAACATTTATTATAATTAATATATAAAATAGACAATGTACTTAAATTTTCACAATAGAAAAAATACAAGTAATAAATACAAAAAACATTTTTTTGTTTTGCAAAGTATTACAAAACATCCAGCACAGTTCGACAGATGTGAGACGTTAACAGAGAATAAATGCTTTGCCACACCGATATTCATATAGCTAAATATATGCCTCATATCTGAAGGAGTTACTCGTCCACAGACTCATGTGTTACTCCGCCGCTCAGAAACGATATTGCTCGCACGATTCAGTGGCCGACGCTCCAAGAAAGCCAGTTTTAGCTCATTTTGGCTAAAACGTGTGAGATTTTCAAGTGAATAAAGCACCACCTCTTCTCCTCCTTCTCACCCTCCTTTCCTACTTCCTTTCTCCATCTTCCAACAAAACAACTCCTCCACCTTCATCTCTCCTCATCCTCATCTCCACCTTTAACATCCCGTGGATCCGTCCACCCAGCCGATACAGAAGTGACCTTAATTTTTTCACACAAATAAAACATACAAATATCATAGAAAAATAATATCCCTCCAAGAATCCACTATGACAAGCCAGTACACACACATGGCAAAGAACACACACACGGAAATCATCATCATCATCATCATCATACAGCAATATGGCCATTGGCTTTGAGCATATCTTCTACATAGCTAATAATTAACATTTTTTTGTAAAGTAATCATCGTTGCCACACATTAACACAATAATTAGACATGAGAATATCCCCGGACTAGTCATAAGTACTTCTGAAATCACATAGAACATCACAGCACTCGTTAGCTTGTCTTTTCATAACGTCTACCTTTAAATACAAATAAAATATAGAATATATCTCTGATAAATGTCACTCAACATTTTCGTCTCTCAACGGCACGTACGAACATTACAAATAAGAACACAGAACGGGAATGTATGCGGAGGGTTTTCTGCATCCGCTCGAGTGTAATTCCTACCAGATGCCACTCCGCTCTTTTGTAGCAAAAATGACCAACATGTGCTGTTGGGAGTCGACCAGATATTTAAAAAAACACAAAAAAGGAAGCCGCAGCAGACTTACTGCACAGTAGGGATTGTGTAATGAGCAATGCAGGATTACAGCTCCGAGACATTTAAAAGAAATGAACAGTTAAACTGAGCGGTTACAGTCTGTTTCCCCTCTTAGGTTCTTCTACTGAAGGCACTGCATTAATGTGAACACAAGCAGTACAAAAACGACACTCCCCTCACGCGAGGAACAGCGAGGAAGCATCGGCAGGTGAATCCCAAACAAAACAAGAAAACGCAGAAATGTCACTGATCATTTTGCAAACGCAGCGTTTCTCAACCTATTCCTGGATTCCCACGTTAGCACTTTTTTTTTTTTTTTTTTAAAACAGTGCTCTCTTGGAACCCGCCTGCATATCAAGTGACACTGAGGTTGAGAAACTCTGCATTAACGACTAACAAGAGTCTCACTTTGGGACACTTTGTTGCACAGTAGCAGAGACACAGGACTGCAGGTGTGTGGAGGAAGCAGCAGGACTGGCTTCGCTGAACACTTTCTCTCTCTCGTCTTCAGTCAGAGTTTATCCTGCGACGCCGCCTCGTTCACATGAAAACTGCTGCGTCTTATAATCCTAAAACAAATGTTCAGTCGTGGTGAGACAGTGGAGGACGCCTCCACCCGTCCTCTGGATAAAACTAAACATATCTGCGTATTTGAGCATGTGAACGAGGCGAAACGCAAGTGCTTAGTATTTTCCTACTAATAATATCCTGTGTGTGTAGTTTGTGTGTTTGCATTGCAGGTTGTGTGTGTCCTCCTCTCCTCCTTCCCTCAGTCCCTCAGCTCCTTCTAGGATGGCTCCTGGTCTCTCTGTGCCCCCCGCTGTGCCGGACTCTTGACGATGGTGATGACGGAGGCGGTGTTGAGTCGTGGCGCTGTGGCGAGGATGTTCCCCCCCCCACCGCTCTCTAACCCCCGGGCGAACCTCTGCAGGGCGGCCAATCGAGCGCCGAGCCCCTCCAGCTCCTTCCTCATGCCGGCGTTCTCCACCCCGAGCCGCTCCACCTCCCTCTGCAGCTCCGTCTTCTGCAGCTCCAGAGCCTCGCGCTGGGACACCCGTTTGACCCGGCAGCTGGCTGCGTAGCCCCGGTTCTTCAGGGTGCGCCGGCGCTGCTTCAGCTTCTGGATCTCGTCACGGGACATGCCGCGCAGGTGGAGGTTCAGCTCGCGCACCGTCAGGGACATGAGCTCGTTGTCGGACAGGACGGGCACGTTCTCGCCGCACTCCTGCTTCACCTGGGGAGGGAGAGGAGAGAGAGTTAGGAGAGTAAAGCAACAACAGTGGTGGGTAAAGGGAATCAGATCTACTTAAGTGTTTAGAAATAAGTTAAAGTCCTGCAATCAAAATGTTTACTTTAGTCAAAGTGCAAGTCAACTTTATTGTCAATCCTTCAGTTTGTGTGTGCAGACGGAGAGATCGAAATACCGTTATATATATATATATCTATATTTACACAATCAAAAGACACATTTATACATATGCACACATTAAGACCTAAATAAAAGCACAACAATCAATATATACAAAATAACAGTCACTTCAATAACTTTGAGAATGTGCATTAGTGTGAGACTGTCCATAGCAGCGTCAAAGTGTCTGTGCTGGATTTGAGTGTGTGTGTCTGTGTGTGGGGTGTTAAAGTCCAGTGGGTTCTTACTATGCTTATTAACAGATTCATATTTCATAATACCCCAATATCAGTAGTGGATAGATATTGTAGGCTTACTTTTTCAACAACAATAATGTTGATATAATGTCTTAGTCGGTAAAGGCAAATGATATAACAGCTAGAACAGTCTGTTAAGACAAAGACATCCATTTACTTTAAAGAGTGCTCTCCTGCTGATGTTCAGGTGTATATCAGTATGTAGTGTCTCTTCTTTAAAGAGTCCTCTCCTGCTGATGTTCAGGTGTATATCAGTAT